GAAAAGAGTATCAACCAAAACGAGGACCCATAAGAAGATTGCTGTTGATGCTTTTCTAGCCTGTCAGCATACAACTAAATGAATATGATCAATCACAGGAAAGAGTCTTCAGGGCCAGCCACATAATCAAAATAACAGCGGAAAAAAGAGAGAGAGGAGGAGGAGAAAAGTTAAGGGTAAGGCCCCAGAAAAAGTCCCTTTTTTGGGTCTTGTCCCTCGTCTCCCCTTCCTGCCTCTGTCTGTACCCTTCCTCTTCGTCGTGAATTAACTGAAGACGGCTCGTACTGCGGACCAGATCGCCGTGTAACTGGCGCGGTGTTGATTTTTCTTTACCCATGTCACATCGTTGACTAGTTTCACCAATCCTGTTTCTGTCGCCCCAATCGCAAAACGGTACGGCACGATGATCAGCTTTCTGGCTTCATACTTATCCCCCAAATTAAATACAGACTCCCGGCATATTCACACGCGTACGCCCTCCCAGTGCGGAACAAGGATAGCAAGCTCTCCATTATATTGCCCTCCAACACTTCCCATTGCCGCATGTAACCTGCAACCGTAGTCACGTTGTTGGAAATAGGGCGGTGAGGTGATGACGAGTTGAACAGAACGATCCGGCATTGTCTATCCACCCCCTATTATCGCGCCAAAATCTGAATCGAGTTGGATGCCGATCGTTGGTCGTGCTGTTTGCACATTTTTCCTCTAACACACTTATGCCATCTGTAACACGAGAGCATTGTTTCACCATAAAATGATAACCTGCTCTTGACGACTGGGTAAAAAGCAACGAGCAAATCCAAGAAAAAATCATAAGTTATCAAGCTCAGGTCAAAGATCAGGACACGGGTCTGGTGGAACTGTTGGCGGCCGTGTTCAAGGCACCGAGCGGCGACGGAAAAACACAGCTGTGAGAAAAGAATAGGATCAAAGTTACACGAGAGAATCCGCAATGAACGTCTGCACAAGACAGGAAAGGCATGGTTAGGAGATATAATTAAGAGTGCGTCGTGGGCGGATACGACAAAGTGTAAGGAGGTCGAGAGTGGCGGAAAAAAACTAAATGGGCGCTGATGTAGGGAAAAAAGCGGTGGTATTTGCCAAGCCGCGACAAAGATGCTTCTGTTGGACATGGTCAAGGTGAAGGGAGAGAATTAAGGAACCTGGAACGATGATAACTGCCAGGGGAAAAAAAGTGAAAGAAAAAGGAGTACATGAAAAAAAAAATCCACAAGGGGAATCAAAACGGGAAAAACAAGAAAAAAATAAAAAAAAAAGAGAAAGAGAAAAGACCACAACCGGCTTTCAAATACAAGATTAGGAATGGTAAACAAAAGTAAATGCGGGATACAGTATAGTGAATATAGTATATGAGAAACACGTAAAGTGTGTTAGATAGGATTTTCCGCGCCTTATGGGGGGCTGGCAACACCGTACTGTTAAAAAACAAGGAAGCAGAGTATTATAACCAGTCCCTGCACATAGGATGCAAAAAAAATCGGCATCGACAACCTGTTCACCCAAAGATAGAAACAAGTAAAAAAATAATGCGAGTCTTTTTACACGGCGGAGGTCGGAAGGAGGGCGGGAGGTAATGGGGGGGAATCGCGGGAAACTGGTCTAGAAATATAACACATAAAAGTTAGAAAAAAAGATGTAATGTTTTAATAAGCGCTAGAGGGGAGGGCGCACTGGTTGTGTAAAATAAAGATAGGTCAAAAAACAGGCGCCGAAAAACAAAAAATAACAAAGCCAGGGGTGCGTCATCTGGGCGCGGGGTGGTGTTACGGGGGTTTGTGACTAGTTTTAGAGATATAAAATGATGGCTTTTGTGAGGCGGAAAAAGGTAAGCGGAGTTTAAGATAGGGGCAGGCAGGCAAGGTTAATAAAACACGAAAAGTCGACTTTGCAGCTCAACAAACTAAGAACCGAAAGAGGAACTCCCTTACAAAGAAAGAGGAAGCAAAAAAGACGCCACAAAAAAGCGGGAAAAACGACTGGTTCAAAACCAATGTTGGATATACATGGAGAGAGAGGGAAGTTCGAGGTGAGAATTTCATAATAAGAAGGGAAATAACGAAGAAAAGAGAAAAGCGAGGACACGAAGGCCGCAAAACACCTATGAGCGCATCGAAAACACAGAACTGGAATAAAGACAGCTCCTAAATCTCTATAATGTGGAGAGAAACACGGTATAAAAAAACGACCAAAAAAAAAAATTTAACGATACAGGGGGAAATAAGAAATGTGAACGTACATAAGGCTAAATTCTGGGAAATACATAAGTCGAAAAAAATTGCTGTACGAATGGATTAGTATTGATGACGAACAACAAGCTTAGAAACTAAAAAAAATAAATACATAAAAGATTAAAAGAAAGAAAATTTGTGTAAACAGGCGGAAAACGAATGGCACAGAAAAAAGTATCAACGAATGGAAACGCAATTGATCAGTGTACTGCAAATTGAAGGGTCCCAGTGACGCCAGCACAAATTACTTCGGTGCTGAGTAAGCGAAAACAACATGGGCAAATTACACAAAAAGTCCCTGGTTTATGCAACGGTGTCGCAGCCAATGCTAAGAAGGCAACAGATGAAAAAAAAAAGAACACGAAGAGCGAACGAACAAAAACAACCATAGGAATAAAGAAATGTGACAAGGAAAGAGGAAAAATCCGCCACAACATTGCCACCCGCGACTAACATAAAACCGGGAAAAAAGATAAGCGGCGAACAATACATGGGCTGGAGAAGAAGAGGGAGGTGGATGCCGGAAGAGGCACATTGATAATAAAAAAAACCTATGAACGATGGTCCAACGCCTGGGAATAAATTACCAGATATTGGGAGTGGAGAAGGGTACGATCGGATATGGTGTTAATAATTGGAATAAAAGTGGGCAACGAAAGGGGAGGCGGGTGAAAATGGTTGATAGAGGCAAAGCGGCCGAAAAAGAGACGAACATAAGGGTAAATTCAGGAGTCGGAGAACAATAGTGGGCCACGCGCAAAAAGATCCACTGCAACTTAAGGTCTCAAGGGGGGAGGCGGGGATAAAAAAGTCGTGTAAAAACCAGATGGTTAGGGGCTTACCGATGAACAAGGTGACGAAAAACAAAAGAGAGGATCATCAGGGCTAAGTAAACAAACATTTGTAATAAAGAAGGAAGGGAAGGGAAAGAAAGAAGCACAATATGAGCAAAAAGAGAAGATCGGCGATGGGGAGTAAAGAAAAACGAAATCCGGACAGGGCGGAGGAAAGAGGAGGGGGAAGAAAAGGGAGGGAAAAGGGGAAAAAAGGCAGGCAACAAAAAAACAAAATACCACGCGATCCTCCGTAGAATCATGGAAAATAAAAAGAAATATGGCGCGGAGGTAAAGGTAAAAAATGAGTGCGCATGCTGGGCGATATGTAAGAGGCGTTAGTTATCACGGAGAAAGCGGTGGAATGGAGTGCGAGAAACATACATCGAGGAAAAAAAAAAGAGAAGGGAAAAGATAGGGTGTGTCTATTAAGAAATAGATGGGAGAATCGGGAATACGGTTGGAAATGTATATCCGGAGAGAGAAGCACAATTGTGCAGGCAGTTGGCAAAAAAAAAGAGCAAAGACTCGGTTTGCTAGAGGAAATAGGAAGGAGAAAAGGGGAAGAGAATTTTATATCACGGAACAGAATAGCAAACGAGAGGAGCAAAAATAGCATTAGTCGGCTCATCTAATCCAAACACGTAAGTAAGAAGAACGAAGGAGAGTGGAACTCTAGGAGATAAATAAATCCACCCGCACAAAACAAACGAAGAAGGCCCAACCAAGGAAGACAAAGAAGAGGCCTAAAATAGAGTGGTAAGATGAAATAATAAGGAAGTCAGGAAGGGGGAAAAAAGGGATAGGAACAATGTGAGGGTATTAGGCGGGGGTCGAAAGAAAAAGGAAATTTAACTCGTGAGCCGAGACAAACAGATAATGTAGGAAGAGAAAAAAGGAAAAGAAAAAAAAGAAACTGGGAAAAGAGGGGATAAAAAAAGTGTGGCGTTGCGCGCGTGCCCAGAGCCGTTAAGTGTTCTTGAGTCCCCGCGTCACGATTTTCAAGAGGAGGAAAGGGAAAATAAAAGAAAAGGAAAGGAGAGGAAAAAAAACTTACTCGGACACGGTGGAACAATAACCTCAGCGGATACCACGGGTTTGATGGGGGAGGATTTCCTGCGCCAGACGGGCCACAAAACGAGCAGAAGATGCACCAAAATAATGGCTCAAAGACTTGGGTGGCACGCATAATGAATGATAGGGGACCAAAGAGAGGGAAAAGAAGAGAAAATCGTGCGCCAAAAGAAGCCTCGCGGGTCCAAAAACGTCAAATCCTGCCTACAAAAGGGGTAGGGGGACAGAAAGTAAGAAAGGGTAAACAAAGAATCGGATTCATGTACTAATCTGCTGGTACACAACGGCTAAAGCCACAATCTTGCATCTGGGGCATATGTGTACGCCCGAACCGCGGGAACAGTAGTTCTGAAAAAAAATGGGTAAGATGATCGGGGTCTAGAATATGAGCTGAGATATGATAGATGAAAGAAACCAAAAGAAAGTACCAAAACATCGAGGCAAAAAAGAAAAAAGAAAAAAGCCCAGGAAAATAAAATAGGAGGCAGGACCTAATCCACAGAAAAATGAAAGAAAATGATGGCAGTGTAAGTAGAACTGAATAAAACTGAACGAAACAACCGAGTAAAGAAAGTCGACAGAAAAAAAGAGAATGCACCCAAATGACACCAAAGGTAAGTTAACAGGCATCTCTCTGTGTCACGGTCTAACAAAGAACAGAAACACGCTCGCAGGAAAAGAACTGAAGGTATCCAGTAACTTAATGACAAAGGAGCAGAGACTGACAGCCGCTGCTACCGAAATAATACATCTCGCACAGGGCACCGAAGATAACGAAAAATAGAAAAGAAGAGGAAAAAAAAAACGGATGTGTTTACAAGAGACCGAATCCGGTGCAATTCGCGAACCAAAAAAAGAAAAAGTAAATGTAAATGTAAAACAACCAAAATAAGCAAAAACCTGGTAAAAAGATAAAGAAAGGAGGGAATGGCGTGCTGCAGCAGCAAAGTCGTGGACGTATGGTAGTTGGTAGCTGAAGAAAACAAAAGGTGAAATGTTCGGCAGAGACACACGGTTTAGCAGATCTCGCCCAAAGATAGTGAAAGGAAAGGGAAAAAGGGCAAGGCAGACCATCATAATGTTAACCCGGTGATTGGAAAGGAACAGCGGTAAAAAAACTGACATCAGAGTGTCTGTGAGTAAAGATTTGGTGGGCCTAGGGAAATTCTAAGGGGGGAGAAGGACGCGAAAAGAAAGAAAGAAAAGAAAGAAAAGGGGAAAAAAGAAAAAAAAGTCTGAATTGATTCCACATCCAGACCCACTGTCTATCTGCTGGCGGTAGAGGGGGATAGACATGGTCAAAACGTGCGGCGTCCACAGGGAACAAAATTCTCTGCGGAAATGTAGTACAAAGCTTGTGTGGGGGTGGGAATAAATGGGACAAGGCCAATGCCAAACAAGAGAAATGCCGCGAAAGGTGAGGAGCGGTGCACACCGGCAGATGAGGGGGCTAATTCAACGGCCGGGATAAATAGTCAAAAAAATAAATGAGATGCATTTAAAAGCACAATAAAAAAAGGGGAAGGCCAAGCTAAAGGTGAAGGCTAAAAGAAAAAAAGGGGGGAAAAAGAAAAGGAAAAAGGGAATAGCGGAGAAGCAAAAGAACAGGGAAGGAAATACGCGGGCGTTGGCCGTCAGGGTCAAAAATCACAACAGGGTGGTCGGAGGAGAAAATCATAGTTGCCGCAGCGCCTTAAAGGTGGTTAAAAACGGATAGTGGCGATATAGTACATCCAGGGATCAAGGGCGAAAAAGTAAAGAAAGTGGGTTATTGACGGAGGGGGGGATGCGCACATATACACCTTAAGGTGTGGGGCGTATCGTACGTAAAAGGACCTACGAGAGCAGGATCGTAGTCAGTAAACATCGTTGTGAACAAGACCGCGTACACTTCGAACAATACACAAAGGAAGCGCAGACGATGAAAAAAATACAAAACAAATAGTAATATGAATGAATAGGGTCACACTTCACGCTGAGAATACACAGCCGGTTCCCAAGCTGTCTGTCTTGTGTAAAGAGTGGATTTTATGAGGCGGGGAAAAGGGATAAAGCAGAAAGCGAACAAGATTTGTAAAGTCCGCACAGAAGCGCTTCACATCGTAGAAGGCGAAAGTGGTCAAAAACATAGCCGAACAGGCCCAAAACAAACGTAAAAAAAAAAGGGGGGAAAAAAAGAAGAAGGGAAAGGGGGGGGAAAAAAGGAACGAAAGAAGAAGAAGGGAGGAAGTTTTGTCAAAAGAAAAAGAAGATCTTAACAAGTAACCATCGACCGGAACGAACGGTTCTTTGAGGTAGCCCTCACCGAGCGTCACATGCTCCTGAGACACAAAGTTTGGCATCATGGCATCGAGTTGCAGACAGGTCGCTAACGCAATCGGGCCGAGCGGACAGTGGGGAGCGACACCGGCATAGTGCATCTCTGCCATCCCCGCAATAAGGCGTGTCTCAAAAATGCCACCAACATGGCAGGGATCTGGGTTTAAGATCTTCGCTGCACCGCGCTCCAAAAGTTCACGAAACGCCCAGCGTGTGAAAACGCGCTCACCCGCCGCGATGGGAATGCTTGTAGATTGGGCAATTCGCGCCATCTCATCGTAGTTTTCGCACTGACACGGATCCTCAATCCACGCCGGATGCAACGGCTCCAATGCTTTGATGATTGGCACTGCGGCGGCGGGGAGAAATGCGCCGTGCAGATCAATGGCGATATCAATAGAAGGTCCAACGGCGTCGCGGATTTCCCCTACACTGGCAACCGCTTGGTCAATAAACTCTTTTGTGGCATGAACTTTGGGATACGGTCCAGGCAACCCAATCTTGAACCCTTTGAACCCCCGCGCCACATCTTCCTTCATCTGATCAATGGAGCCGCCCCCTTTATACAGACGGATGCGGTCTCGGGCGCGTCCACCCAATAATTGCCATACCGGCAGCCCGACACTCTTGCCAAGAATATCCCAAAGCGCTGCCTCGACTCCACTGATGGCACTCATCATAATTGCGCCGCCATGATAACACGGTTGTCGATACATCGCTTCCCAATGATGGATAATTCGTCGTGGGTCTTGACCGATAAGATAGTCTTCCAGTTCCCTGATCGCCTCAGCGGAGGTTGTAGCGCGTCCCTCTAGATACGGCTCACCCAAGCCGACAATTCCTTCGTCAGTATGTACCCGCAGAAACAGCCAGCGGGGTGCAATCAGGAATGTTTCGAGTCTGGTAATTTTCATTTTTTAATGTACTCCTCAAGCTAAAGACTTTAATTTTCCTTGACGTATACTGAGTTACGGGCTATCATCATTCGATACCTCCCTGCACAGGATAAACACGAACCTGCTAAGGGTAGTGGAAAATGATATAGGGGGATTCTTTTTCTGCCCGGAGACGTAAAGTGGAGTAAATCGGTCAGAGATGCCTTTAGCAAACGCCTGTAGGCAAGAGCAGTTGACTTAGTGTTTCATTGAGCTGCCTGTTGGGGTTGGCTGAACTCAAAACCAACCTTCGCATCTTGATTGGTTGTAACCACAACTTCTTGAACGGGCTGCGTCCCCAATTCTTCATGCCACGCCTTAATACGATAACTCCCTTCTGGCACATTTTCCAATCGAAACTGACCGTTCGCATCTGTGAGTGCGTAGTAGGGGTGCTCGGTCACAATAATCCATGCCTTCATCCAGCTATGCACATCGCAAATCACTTTGATAATATCAGGTTCAGGGAACGTCAGGGGCAGCCGTCTCCTTTTCGTTTTGGTCTGAATGATGTTGAGTTCTTTGTTATGTGCACCAATGGCATGGAAACTGTGCAACACAGGATCGCTATTTAACGCTTCAAATTCTACGCCAGCGGGAACCAGCAGTACATGTGGAATAAAAATACATTTTTGCTGGTCTATTTGGATCGGTTTGTCGCCAGTTTCTATCGGTAGGCCTTTGGGGATTCTCAACAGTGACACGACCACATTCTGAATCTCTCCTTTTTCGGAGACAAGGAGACTTTCAGATTGATACGCATGCCCACACGTCTTTTTGTTTAAGGTGACACGCAGTTCTTTGGGCGGAGGGGGTTCACCTTTGAACAGTGCGTGTCCGCTGATGTTCCCACCTGTCCGGACTCGATTGCGTTTTGGAACGCTTCCAAGGTCCTCGGTGCCCGCTTTGGCGGCGCCTGTTCAGAGGTTTGACTAGACTGTTGAGGCGAATTGGTCTGTGATTTACCCTGTGGACACAAATAGAGGAAGAGACACAGTAAGAGCAATTGTTGTGAAATAAACCGGCGGCAAATGATCATTGATCTTTCCTTTCTGTTTGCCAAGTGTTACGTCAACACCTCATCGGGTCGAGAGGGGCATCAGCATTATATCAACCCGTCCAATCCGCGTCAAGCAAATTGCGGATTGCTATCTTTGCTGAACGGTTCAGCGAAAGGGAACACCATGAAAAGGGCATGGGTTGGCTTCAGTCTTTTATTGATTATATCTGCCTGTTCGGACAGGAATACGCCTGAAGATGTTGCAGAGGATTTTGTCTATAACTACTATCTGTACGCAAATCAGGGGATGGCGTTACGCTTGAGCGATGGGCTCGCTAAGGAAAAACTGGAAACAGAAATCGAATTCCTACGGGAAGTCCGAAGCGGTAGCGATCAATCTCAGGTAAAGCCAAATATTGAGTATAAGCAGGTGGGAAAAAAGATTGAGGACGAAAACCGCGTATTCTTCAGATACCAATTGACCATCAAGGGCACAAGTTTTTCAAATACGGTTCGTAACACTGTGATCTTCACTGAATTGATTGATGGACAATGGAAGGTCACTAATTTTGATGAGTACACAGAATAGTGAACAAGGAAGCGGCAAACGATGTTTTCTCAATAATGGCAGTTATCGGTTGACCTGTTTGAACCATCCCCACATCGTGAACTTTTTGCCTGCGGGAGCAACTGCAAAAACAGGATCAAACCACGCAGGATCAGCGTCACCATGGAGATTATTGGTGAGTCTTTGTTGATTCTGCCCATCGACGCCCATCACGTAGATTTCGAAGTCCCCATCTCTATCAGACGCAAAGGCAATCCGTTCACCGTCCGGTGACCAAGAGGGATGCCAATCGCTACGGAGATTATTGGTAAGTCTTTGTTGATTCTGCCCATCGGTGTTCATCACATAGATCTCGAAGTTCCCCTCTCTATCAGACGCAAAGGCAATCCGTTCACCGTCCGGTGACCAAGAGGGATGCCAATCGCTACGGAGATTATTGGTGAGTCTTTGTTGATTCTGCCCATCGACGTCCATCACGTAGATTGCGAAGTTCCCCTCTCTATCAGACGCAAAGGCAATCCGTTCACCGTCCGACGACCATGAGGGATGCCAATCACTACGGCGATGATTGGTGAGTCTTTGCGGATTCTTCCCATTGGTGTCTGCCATGTAGATTGCGAAGTTCCCCTCTCTATCAGACGCAAAAGCAATCCGTTCACCGTCCGGCGACCATGAGGGATGCCAATCGTTACGGCGATTAATGGTGAGCCTTCGCGGATTCTTCCCATCAGCGTCCATCACGTAGATTTCACTATTCCCATCTCGTTTGGAACTAAAGACAATGCGTTTACCGCCCGGAGCCCATGAGGGATCCCATTCAACAGAGGGAGTATTAGTGAGTCTTCGCTGATTCTTCCCATCAACCATCACGTAGATTTCAGGGTTCCCATCCCTCTCAGACACGAAAGCAATCCGTGCCTGTGCGTCAACGGCTACCATCAGCAGCGTTAGACCCAACACTACAACGCCAGCTAAAATGAAATGTGCGAGATTGTATCTCCGTCGCATCTGCTATGCCTCCTCTGTTTCCAAATCAACCTCTTATGCTTGTTATAGAGGTCACTGGTGTGGCACCCACCTCACCAATTAGGGGCACTCGGTTGATTATCGCGAGATGTATGGGAGGGGTCTTCGAACCTTCTTACCGTTATGACCCAGCGTACGCTGCCGCACCTCTCAGCAGCAAACACTGGTGTCCTAGCGATAATGGCACAGTTATCGTCGAATCCGGTTCGATGCGCGCAGCCCCGCACACCGCGGTGAAAGCGTTTTGCCTGCGAGGAGCAACTGCACAAAGCAGGATCAACCATCGCAGGCTACTGTCATTACGGGCGCGGACGGGCTTATTGTGAGTCTTCGCGGATGAGGAAACTCCCATGCGAGGGTGGGCAAGGGGCTCACAGTCGCGTAGAGGGGTGAGTCCCGATCGCCGGAGTCTTCCCATCAGGGAGCATCCCTATAGACAAACTGAAGCGCAATGCGGTTTGCGAAAGGGGCGCGTACGAGGACGTAGTAGACCATGAAGGGTAATGCTCATAGCTGTCAAGAAAAGAAGAGGAGGGTGCACCGTTTAATATGGTGACGTGATGTTCTGCTGAGTAAGCCGTCTAGGCCCAAAAGCACATCGGATGAGCAGCATCGAGACATAGATTGACACACGGTTACCTGCCCAGTCGCTAACGCAGAAGGAACAGATGCGGGATTCTCGGTGGATCCGTCACCGGGAGACCATGAGGTGGTGGGATTAGTCGTAAAGCATAGATATGGTGAGGCTTTTGACTGATTACCACATCAGCGTCCATCACGTGGATTTCCTGGTTCCCATCCCTACTAGAAGTAAAGGCAATGCGTTTACCGTCAGGAAACCATGAGGGATTCCAATCATCAAAGTCATTGTTAGAGAGTCTTCGCGGATTACTCCCATTGGCGCCCATCGTGTAGATTTGCCGGTTCAGCCCACCCCTCATGGAACAGAAGAGGACAGATGCTGTTTACCGTCAGGTAGATACACATGAGGCTAAGCAAGTTAGTATTCAAGGTACTAGTAGCAGACGCAAGCGAAGTCTTGGTGGAGGTTGGGAGGATGGTTATGCGTGAGGATGATACATAGCGCAGTACACGAATCACGTGGATTCACTGGTTCGCGATAGCGAGACGCTGACGAGAAGGTAAAGAGCAATCCAGTTGCCCAAAACAGGCCGTCAGAGGACCATGAGGGATCCCAGTTATGAAAGGGTTATTGGTGAGGTTTCGCTGGTTACCCCCATCGGCGTCCATCACGTAGATTTGCCGGTTCCCATCCCTCTCAGACACAAAGGCAACCTGTGCCTGTGGGGCAGCACCTACCATCAGCGGCGTCAGCACCAAGGCTACAACGCTAGCTAAAATGAAATGTACCAGATTGTATCTCCGCCGCATCTGCTATGCCTCCTCTGTTTTCAAATCAATCTCTTATGCTTTGGGGGTTATAGAGGTCAGCTTGTGTTGGAAACCCCTTTCCAATTAAGGTGACAACTCAGATTGTAATGGTGTCAAACTTGGATAGCCTATGTTTCCACCCAATGCCGGTACAACGGTTTTACATTATCAGGCAGTGACTCGTATACCTCTGATCGTATGAGGGGAGAATCGTAATTTTTTCCGTCCGTCTCGATCACCATTTGGGTGTGTTCCGGATTTCCAGCCTGTGTAGGATTCAGATTAAGCCACCATGGCGCATAGCGGACAATGACTGCAACACGCGGTTTGTCGCTACGATTCGGCGGCACCGCATGCCAGAGTCGACTGTCGTAGAGTAGTACGCTACCTGCGGGACCCGAAACCTGTGTTTCAGTTGGATATGGAGCATCGGGATCGATTCCCGCTATCCCTGCTGCGGAAGGATTGTCGTCGGTTCTATGGCTTCCGGGGATGATATAGGTGCCACCCGTTTCGGGTCCAAATGGAGTAAGCATCCAAATCGTTGAGAGGTGCATGATTGTGTCCGGATACGGAGCGGGGATGTGCGTTGCATTGGTCTGATTGTAGGGCCAATCCGAATGCCAATAGCCTCGCTCATTCCCCGGATAGTTGATCACACAATCGGTGCAGGAAATTCGCACATACGGTCCGAACAGCACCTCAGTGAGCACCATAATCCGCTCATCTGCCAAGTACGGGGCGAAGGTCTGGGTTTCGTTGATGATTCCTCTCAAATTTGCAACGCCCTGAACGCCCACACGGTGCCCCCGCGACCTCGTTTTTGCGAGTTCTGCTTCTGCTTTTTTGTGGTGTGCCGCTTGCGCTGCTACCACACTCTCTCGGACCTCATCAATTTTGTCATCCGGGATGATCCCCTCAAGAACACAATAGCCATTCATTTTCAACTGGTGTAGCTTTTCTTCTGTTGACATGCTCCCCTCCTGATCCCTTACAGGTCATATCCGCTTTGCATGACCATTTGGACCAGTATATCACAACTCCGAATTGGGTGTCAATGGATCGAATTGGTTGCATTAGGAGCATTTAGTTTTCCGTTTTGGCTCATGCCCCACTGTTTTCTATCCCTCCGGTAGGTGCTTGCATCCCGATTTATCGGGGCGGGGCATCCCCGGTCACGGGATCCTCTCGGACTTGCCCCGCTGTTTGTAATAGCACGTTTATTGCGCCTGCTTATGCTTAGGTGTCGAAGGCGTCCTTTATCCGTGTAATCCGTCAATCCGTATTTATCCGTGATTCAGATTGCTTTGAACCCCGCCTGTCCCCCTGGTCTCGATTTATCGGACGATTTATCGGGGCAACAATATGAGAGAATTAAATGCCCCTAGTTGCACCACATAACCGGTTGTTCCCGCACGGTGTCCCATCAATTCTCAACTTTTGAAGCACCGGGGATAAATGATCTCTGATTTTTGTTGATCGGAAAGTGAAAAACGGGTACAATGGCTCGTGAAAGCTTTCTAAAATCGGCAGCGAAAGCCTTGATGTTGTTCATTTGTTATGAGCATCACAACAGTGTGAAGATTAGATTGAAAGTTCTCATCTAACAAAATCAAGTTAGAAAGGAAGTATCAGATGGCAGAAAAAAGTTTGAAACAACGTATACACGATGGAGAGGTACTTATCGGGCGGGGAGCCCCCGTTGCATCAGATCCGGATGACCTCAGAGCCATCCTCGATGGGGCAGATTTCGATTTCATCAATACTGACAGTCAGCACTCCGCATTTAACGAAGAACGGCTGAAACCTTTTGCGAAGTCGCAGACGAATACGATATGCCGGTTCAATTTCGGATTAAGCATACCCGCAATGCCTACCTTATTGGCAACTACCTGGATCTGGGACCGACAGGCATTGAAGTACCGCAAGTAGAACTTGAATCAACGGTTGATGAAGCTATTGATAATTTTTTACTATCCACAGAGTGGCAAACGCAGTTGGGGCGGTGCCTCTCGGAAGACCGCGCCGGAACACAGCGGGCGCCTCGAGTATGCACAATGGTGGAGCGAAAATGGTGTCCTTTGGATGCAGATAGAATCGGTTGACGCAGTCACCAATGCGAGAAAACTCGCTAAACCGGGTGTCGACTGTCTTTCGTTTGGACCAGCAGATCTGAGTTTCAGCTTAGAAAGCTACCCACACCACTCGCTCAAAACCCTTGATGACTGTGCGCGTCATGTGGCAGAGCAGCTTCAAGGCACTGGCGTTGCGGTCTGCCTCCGGGGTATTGCACCGAACGATCGCGATAGATACATTGATATGGGCATCACGATGTTCCTCTAGTCATCGCAAGCCCATCTAGAGCCTCATCCTTGCGAGGGTTTAACACCTTCGCAAGGATAAAACTGTCAGCAGAATCACAAGTTGAAAATCCCGATTTATCGGGGAGGAGGAATTAGTTACATGATAATGGCTAACACGTTTCGTCAGAAACTCAATCAAGGGAAACCAACCATCGGTACACACTACCTCTCCAGCGACCCAGATCTTCCAGAAATCATTGGAGATACCGGTCTGTTTGACTACGGCGAGTTCTGTGCCGAATACAGCACTTTTGATATGCAGCTACTCTACCACATGGCGCGTTCGGGCCAGTGTGGTAACTTACCGCTGATGACAAAGATAGACCAGAAAAGTGAAAGTTTTTGGGCGCAAGCTGCGCTCGGCGCGGGCTTTAAGGCAGCCCTTTTTACGGATGTTTCGCACCGTAGAGGACATCGAGCGATGCCATCAAGCGATAAGACCGGATCTCCCCGATGTCGGTGGACACATGGGGGTCAAGCTGCGTCGTTCGGCATTATCGGGTTATAGTGCAGACGGCTACATCGAAGACCTGAATTCGGTTGTGTTTTTGATTATGATCGAGAAAAACCTAGCGGTTGATAATATCGACGAAATCCTGACTGTTGCAAAAGAAAAAGGGGTTGACATGACCCAATGGGGTCCCGCAGATTTTGGTTTTTCCAGAGGTGAACCGAACCTAATGAACACGCCGGAGATACGACCGTTTGAAGAGTTTGTCATCAAGAAGTCAATAGAATATGATGTTGCCCCACGAATCGAAATCAGTACGCCCGAAGAAGCAAAACGGTATATTGATCTGGGTGTCCGCCACTTCTGCATGGGTTGGGACCGGTTTATATACCAAAGCAACCTCATTCAGCTTGGCGAAGGGCTTCGGAAAATTGTAGACCCCCTCTAACGATGACTGCTATCTGCCGGTCAAGGTTTTAGCCGGAAGCGCACTCTCGGCTAAAACCTCGGCATCCGATTGATCAAACCAAAGCGGTGACTATGACAAGTGCTAGCAAATACGGGAGGCGAACATGGAGTTAGCGGACATTAAAAAAGGTGGGAGTTGTCGGAGGTGGGACCATGGGCTTCGGCATCGCTATAAACTTTGCACTAGGCGGATACCCCACCATTATTAGAGATCTCAGCGATGCACTTGTACAGCAGTCCATGAGAAACATCAAGGCTTCTATGGATCTCTTCGTCGAGGAGGATTTGATAACCCAAGCGCAAGCCGATGACACGATCAGCAGGATCGCAACTACCACCGATTTGGGGGAAGTAGCAGCACAGAGTGATTTCATCACCGAGGTAATAGTCGAACGGTTAAAAGACAAGCAGGTTCTCTTTAATACACTGGATCAACTGTGTCCACCCCACACCATTATTGTCAGCAACACCTCCGGATTTGTGATGAGTGATATTGGCGCAGGTGCCAAGCGACAGGACAAAATTGGGTTGACGCACTACTTTGCGCCACCCCACATCGTGCCGGTGTTGAGGTGGCTAAGGGTCCCGGCACGAGTGACGAAACATACAATATCATCTATGACTTGATGAAAAAGGTCAAGAAGGTCCCAATCCGGGTGCTTAAAGAGTTACCGGGTTATCTGCTGAACCGGATACAGGGCGCAATGGGACGCGAGGCAAGTCGATTGTGGGCAGAGGGGGTGGCAACCGCTGAAGAGATTGAACTCGGAATTCAGTCCACCTTCGGTTTCCGTATGCCCCATGAAGGTCCGTTTCTCCACTATGATTTAGCAGGTATTTGGAAATGGCCCGCAGATATACGAACTAGACGACGAAGAGGATCCGAACCGCTTGACGAAGCCACTGAGAAGATCAGCGAGCGTATGGCGGAAGGGAAGCCGTGGTTTGTTGATCCGAATAAGTTCGATGAGGCGGTCGAGAAAAGGGATCGAGAGTACATACGCCGTCTGAAAGAGGTATACCGTTGACTGCTCCCAAACCTAAAGGGTTGGGATTCTTATGATAGACTGAACAGTAGCAGTTGCTCTGTGCTATCTTCTTGATTCGACAATTCGTGCCTCAACTGCTGAGGGCTTACAGAATCTCCACAAGCGTTTATACTCTCCGTGTGTCCCACGGCGAGGTTTTTCAGATTTATTGCAGCGTTTAGGTCCCTGTCTTGGGTGTGACCGCAAGCACTGCAATGATACGTCCTATCGGACAAGGATAAGTCGCTGTCCACTACACCACACACTGAACAGGTTTTACTCGACGGGAAAAACCTATCGGCTTCAACTATTTTTACACCGATTCTATCAGCTTTGTCCTTCAAAAACGTGAGGAACATTGATAGGCTTGCATCCGACAGTGCTTTTGCAAGTCTATGATTGTTTAGCATTCCTGATACGTTCAGCGATTCGATGCCTATCCGCTCTGCACTATTAGCGATTACCGTCGTTGCTTTGTGGTGGGCATCTCTACGGACGCAGGTGATGCGATAATGTAACTTAGCTATCTTGTCTTTGAGTTTATACCAGTTACGGCCGCCTTTGACCTTACGGCTAAATTGCCGGTGTAGCCGTTTGAGTTTCCGCTCGTATCGCTTCAACGCTTTCGGATTCTCAAAGTACTGTCCCTCAGACGTGACAGCCAAGTGGCTGATTCCGACATCAACACCTATTACAGGTAAACTCCTAATCTCAGGTGTAGGATCGTCCGAAAAGGTATCTACAATAGGACTTACGCAAAATCCATAGACATAATTGTTGAAAAACAGTAGAATGAGTTGCATGGAGGTGAACATGCCCCAACCGACTCGACTCGATTACTGTCAGTATTTGCTCAGTAGCCCCATCAACTATACCTTAACCCATTTGGCAGACCATAGCCAACAGTTCAGTCATGATATGATAAACCGTTATCTTGCCGGTGAGCGTATCCGCCCACGCTTGGTATGGGAAAATGTCCAACCGCACCTTGTGCAAACAGAACAAGGATATGTCATCTTTGATGACACCGTTTTGGATAAGCGCTACGCTCGGAACATAGCACTAGCGCGTGTTCAGTATAGCGGCAACGCCAAAGGTGTCATTAACGGTATAGGTGTGGTGACTTGTGTCTATGTCAATCCCGACTTAGACCGTTTCTGGGTGATTGACTACCGTATTTACGACCTACAGACAGATGGCAAGACCAAATTAGATCATGTTAAAGAGATGTTATCCCATTCGGTCTATCACAAGCGGCTTTTGTTTTCAACGGTGTTGATGGATAGCTGGTATGCCGCCAAAGATTTGATGCTATACATTGAACAGTTAGACAAACATTACTATTGCCCGCTGAAGTCGAATCGTCAGGTAGATGACTCCAATGCCCAAACGCCTTACCAGCGTGTAGATGGCTTGCAGTGGACTGAGACGGAACGCCAGCACGGGAAACGGATTAAAATCAGAGGATTTCCTAAACATCACAAGGTGAAACTTTTCCGGGTCGCGTCTAGTAACGGGCGCACGGATTATGTTGTGACCAACGACTTAGCTCAAAACGACACTTCAGTTGCCCAACAAGCGTGTAACTGGCGGTGGAAGATTGAGCAGTTTCACCGTGAAGCCAAGCAGTTAACCGGTCTTGAGGGGTGTCAATGTCGCTTGGCACGGATTGTTCGCAATCACATCGGGTGTGCAATGTTGGTTTGGGGTGCGACTCAAGCAAGTCGCGTATCAGACAGACCAAACCATTTATCAAGTCAAGCACAGTTTATTCTCTGAATACTTGCGACACCAATTGAAATCGCCCGCTATTCAGATGAAACTTGCGTAAGTCCTATACAAGAATAGAAGCGAACCAACGATGTGCAGTCTTGGATATAACCACCTTACAGATTGTGCCGTGGAAGCGTAGGGGTTGACACATGCGGACCCAACCAATTTTGGGAATTTAATCCGCCGACCTACAACAGGAGTTGTCCCTCGACCACTATCTGCTTGGTAACTTTGACCGTGTGACCGCTTCTTAAACTTAGGAAAACGATTCTGTCCTGATTTCCATCTGCCTATGGCGTTGTTTAGATTGTTGTAAATCGCATGCTTTGAAGCGTTTTGTGACATTTCACCACACCAGTCGTACTGTTCATGTTTAATAGCATTGAACCGACGGCAGAGGTCTATATGAGAACGCCAATCGCCTGCGTTCAATCCTTGCTTAAAATCGGCTAAGGCGTGATTGTATGCAACACGAGCATATCCACAATGTTGAGCGAACTGTGTCGCTTGGACATTGTTTGGATCTAAAGCGATTTTATGAGTTTTTAACATGGGATTGTCTTTCTGTCTTTCGATTCCTATGTCGTAGGATGTGGGAGACACCGCCAAGCGACGGTGCGACATTCTCCCACTGAAAGACAAGACAATTATACCATTTTTTTCACACAAAAACACAACAAAAATCAACCCTTTGGACCCAAGCATAAATGCTTGGGCTTGCCTAAATGACTGTCAGAAGAAAAATAAGACGTTGGAAGATATCTTAAATGGAGATTTTGAAAAAAGGATTCAATAAAGATGACCGGATACGACGTGGTTTTATTTGACCTAGACGGAACTCTTACCGATTCAAAAATTGGCATCACCAAGTCCGTTCAATATGCCTTATTGAAATTTAACATTCGGGAAGACAATCTTGATAATCTCGAATCCTTTATTGGTCCCCCACTGTCTGAGTCATTTCAGAAAAATTACGGGTTTGAACCGAGTCAAGCGCAAGACGCTGTTGATTTTTACCGCGAATATTTTTCTACATCTGGAATATATGAAAATGTAGTTTACCCCGGAATACCTGCGTTTATTGGCAGATCTGAAAAGCAAGAGGAAGGAGTTAGTTGTTGCGACATCAAAACCGACTGTTTTTGCTAATCAGATTTTAAATAGCTTTAACCTCTATCAATATTTCACTACCGTTGTTGGAAGCCATCTTGATGGAACAAGGACTTCAAAGACCGAGATTATTGCACACGCATTATCAACGCTAGGAAAACCGAAAGAAAACGGCGCTGTGATGGTAGGAGATCGGGAACATGATGTCATTGGTGCTCAAGGTAATGCGATCGACTCAATTGCGGTGACTTACGGATATGGATCGCTTTTGGAATTACAACGCGCGAACCCAACCTACTTAGCTCATGCTGTTGAGGACATTGGAACATTGACCGGCTAGTACAGAAGTTTGTTACAATTGATTTTAAGGATCCCAATGTTGTTTCCTCTCTGCATCCCTAAAAAGCTGGTCTGAAAAACCTCGGTGTTTTGGTCGTTGAGATCTTCAGGTATTGCACTATAGTTTCGTTCTTTGTATGATATGGGTTGTGCACCAAGAACAGCTTAGGGCAGAGAAGCAACAATCTTCTGGTATTCATCCTCCGTAAAGGCGCGAAGGGTTTCAATACGGACGTTACCCTCCGAGGCGGTAGCAAGCGCGAACTTGGCTGCGGTTTCATCGTCCGGAGCCTCAATGATAGTGATAAAATCATACTGTCCCATGACTATATAGAATGCCTTAAATTCCGCGCCCAGTGCCTGAACGTTTTTTCTGGCAGCGTCAGTACGCGAGGGTCCTTCTCTAATATTCTGTATGCCTTGTTGTGTATAGCGACCCAACGCAATATAAGTAGCCATTGGATGCCCTCCTTTGATTGCTATTTATAGTATTCTTTCAAAACACGATCGATTGTAGCAAAATGCCCAAAATATGACAATGAAAAATGTAAGAGGAGTTGGGAGATGTGCAGGGTGTGAGCAAGATGAATCCGAAAGAAAAGTGGCTATTCGCTCTGCATTTCGGAAGAAATTCGGAGGATGAGGTATGCTTATGAACAACGATGGAACGGCTTTACAAAATCTTGATGGCTCAATCGCAGTGGTGACTGGTGCGGCACAGGGGTTGGGTCTCGGAATCGTCGAGCAACTTGCCCGCGACGGCGCAACGACAATCATCGCCGACCTGCAACTGGAGAAAGCTGAAACGGAAGCCAATCGGCTGCGAACTGATGGCTTGGAGGTACATGCAGCTCACTTAGACATCACTGACAGTGCCGTGGTAACAACGTTTTTTGAAAGAGTTGCCAATGAACACGGACAATTGGACATCTTGGTCAACAACGCAGGCGTTGGTCAGAAGGTCACCCCCATCGTGGAGTTAAGTGATGAGGAGTGGAATCGTGTGTTAAACGCTACCTTGACAGGGGCATTCTACTGCTGCCGCGCTGCGGGTGGGATTATGGAGCGTCAGGAATACGGCTGCATTGTTAATGTCGCCTCGATCAATGGCCAAAATCCAGCAGCACTAGTTGCAGCGTATAACGTAGCAAAGGCAGGCATAATTAGCTTGACCAAGACATTGGCACTGGAGTTGGCAGCGTATGGCGTGCGAGTAAATGCCGTGAGTCCGGGTCCGGTTTACACCGAGTTTAACAGGAGGAATATGGCGCAACGCTGCGAGACGCTTAACATCACTGAAGACGAGATGATCGAGCGCATCCGTAGTGCCATCCCGTTGGGACGGTGGGGCGAGCCAACAGACATTGCGCGGGGGATCGCCTTTCTATGCAGCCCTCAAGCGTCTTGGATTACGGGCGAGGTGCTCAGGGTCAGCGGCGGTATGGAAGGTGTCTCTGCAACCCCACCGAAACGCCAAAAGAATTGAACCTTAATTTTCCCATTTGGAGTGAACGTATAAACCTATTCACCTAAGGAGATCAATGAATGACTGAAGTCCAGAACGACGATCATATTTTTCATAGAACGCTTAAGCAGCAATGGCAACAGATTTCTCATGGTGAGGGCGTCTATCTATTCGATACAGATGGCAAACGCTACCTCGACGCGTGCGCCGGGGTGCATGTGGTAAGCATTGGTCACGGTGTCAAAGAGATTGCCGATGTCATGGGCAAACAAGCGAGCCAAGTCTGTTTCACATACAGCCGCTTCCTCACACAAGCCCAGATCGATCTCGCGCAAAAAATCGACGACATGGCACCGGAGGGACTCTCGAAAGTGTTCTTCGTCTCCGGCGGTTCTGAGGCCACAGAGTCCGCCATGAAGATGGCGCGAAAATATCATCTCGAAACTGGTAACCCTAAAAAGTATAAGGTGATTTCGCGATGGCAAAGCTGGCACGGCAATACAATCGGCGCGCTGTCAATGTCCGGACGCACCTCTTGGCGGGACGACTATGTTCCCTATCTGCTCGATTTTCCGCACATTCCAGCTCCTTACTGCTATCGATGTCCTTACGGACAAGAATATCCTGACTGCCATCTCACTTGTGCGAACGAACTTGAGCGTGTGATTCATCAAGAAGGCAGTGAGTATATCTCCGCATTTATCGCTGAACCGATCCTCGGCACGTCAGCAGCGGGAGTAGCACCTCCACCGGACTACTACCCCACCATTCGGGAGATTTGTGATCGGCACGACATCCTGATGATCACAGACGAGGTGGTAACCGGATTCGGGCGCACCGGCGTCAACTTTGCCATCGAGCATTGGGATGTCGTTCCTGATATCATGACTACAGGGAAAGGATTAAGCAGCGGCTATACCCCTATTGCTGCAACAATCGCCCATGAAAAAGTCTACGACGCCATCTATAAGAAGTCAAGCAGCTTTACGCATGGACATACTTACGGCGGGAATCCCCTTTCATGTGCCACCGCGCTTGCTGTGCAGAACTATATTGAGAAGCACGATCTTGTCACACAGTGTGCACGGATGGGGGACCTGATGCTTGAAAAACTGAAGCCCCTTCAAGAATCACCAATTGTTGGAAATATCCGTGGTAAAGGGTTGCTGATTGGCATCGAATTTGTTGCCGACAAAGAGAAAGGAACGCCATTTGATGTTTCAAAAGGCGTGACCTCAGCCGTTGTAGATCTGACTTTTGATAAAGGGGTTCTGATAATGCCCGGCGCACCCGGACTCATTGACGGCGTAGCTGGCGATCACATCGCCATCAGTCCTCCGTTCACAATCAACGAGTCGCAAGTCCTCGAAACTGTTGATGCGCTGACGGAGACGATTGACGAGGTTGCAAAAGGCTTGGGGTATTAAAATCCCACGGGAAGATGTCCCTCTCTAGTATTGGTTCTCCCTTGTGGTAATGGAACACCATCGTGCGGTGAAAAGTACGTTCATCAACGCCTCCCGTGCGGCAGATGTGTCAATCCGTCGCAACGCATTTACCGCATAAAAACGATTGTACCGATTCTCGTCCTCTAACATTTCTACCAATGCAGGTATGGCTTCGTCCGCGGGTTGTCCTAGCTTCGCCAAAGTGAGGGCGGCGTTACGCCGAACCCGGTAATCTTCATCCCGCAACGATTCGGCCAGTAGCGATGTAGTGTCTGGGCGACAAGATCCAATGGTTCCCAATGCTTCAATTGCATTGCGACGCACCCACCAATGTTCATCATTCGCGCGTTTCATCAATACCGGCACAGCATCTCCCACCGGTTGCCCAATCTTCGCCAAAACATCCACAGCCATTGCGCGTACCCACCAATGTTCATCATCCAATGTCTCGACTAGCATTGGAATTGCTTGTGAGCCAATCGCGGACAACGCTTGCGCCGCATAGCCGGCGGTCGGATTGGTGCCATGCAAATTGTCAGGGGGTTTGGCGGTCGTTTCCTCAATTGATGCAAGGGTTTCCTTCCGCATGGCGTCAATTAGCATAGGCACGACAGAATTCCCCATTTTCCCCAGTGTATAGGCGGCGTTCAGACGAACGTTTTCTGACTTATCACCCAAAGCCTCCACCAAAGCTGGCACCGCTCCCTCTGACATGCCCGGCTCTGAGCAGGAATGGTTCCCACATAGCCAGTTCCAAACATCTACCGATGTAGCTTGATTTTCATCGTTTGCATCGCCTTCCCACTCACGGTGCTTGTGATCCCATGAAGGTGCTTGAGGTGTCTGCATACGCGCAAACTGAAACTTGAGCATGTATCGTTTCTTCGTACTGTGATTCGGCATTGCCCGGTGCCACGCATCAAAGTGAACGAGTGAGACGGTGCCGGCTTCGCCGCATAAGGGGGCTGCGGGCTCACTCGCTAGTTGTGGATCGGCATGGCTCACCTTTTTGTGAAATTGCTTGCCGGGCAGCAGACCTGTTGGTCCCATGTCTTCAGTCGTATCTTGAGGGTAGTAGAGTGCAAGCACCCACTGAAAGCGCGGATGGCGGATATTATGATCGAAGACATAACAATCCTTATGCCATTGCTGCCCTTTGCTGTCAGGGGGATTGAGGTGACAGTGTCGGTGTGGGTTCATGATGCAGCCTTCCCCCAGCAGACTGGTCAAAGCACCCTTTAACGCTGGATGATCGAAAACCTTCTGGATCTGGGGGATGCGCGGTAGAATATTGTTGCCGGTGTTACCTTCACCTTCAAACATCGTCTCAATTTGTTGGTAGATGTCTTGGTGAAATTCGGGAGGGTAGTCGGCTCGGACAGTAATATAGCCGTCGGTGATAAATTGTTGCATCTGGACATCATTGAGGAGATCTGTCATTTTCTTTCCTTTCGTAGACTGTCTTTTGACGGGCACTGAAACGTCCCGACTGAATCGGAATGAAGCTACGCTCGACTGACAGCGATGCGCTGCTTTACCCCATCATATTTTATTTAACAGTGCAGTCGCCTCGTAACGGGATGTATCCTCAATTGGGATAGGCTTGATAGCTATATATAATTATAACCGATTTGAGCATCGAAAGCGAGGATTACTGATTGACGCAATTTACGGTTGAAAGATGATCCGATTTGTGGTATGCTTTTGATTCGATAAGACTTCAAACCTTCGCAAGGTTAAGATAACCCGCTTGGTTCAGGAATCAGAATGGAAATAAAATTAGGAGTGTGCAATCACTTCGTCCCAACTTTCCAAGCGACCGTCGATGCGCTGTATGCAGCGTTACAAAAACAGGTGATAGAACAATCAACAAAACATTAGCGGTGGAGGAACCGTCGCACAACATGCGTCTTGAAATCGGTATCATCGCGCTCGTTGAGGAAGTGTTAGGGGTTCCTGCTGAACGACGCGCCCAATTCGATTGGCTGATTAACAAACCGTCCCCAGCCCATTTCGGTGAATACTATCCGAGAATTGTTGACCTCTTTGAGAAAATGGACGGTGATTGGGATGGCTTATCCACAAAAGCAGACGGATACTTAACTCCCGATGCCTATTTCCCCGCACCCTACAATTTTATCTTTGAATTTGACGAATTACAACACTTTACCGCGTTTCGTCAGGCAACTTTGGGTTTTTATTCGGAAGACTTGGCTCTGGGTTTTGATCGCCACGCGTATCTCCAACTGTGCCTCAAACATCAAGAGATGGCGATTCAGAAAGGTACAGATCGGTTTCGACGAAAGACGGCGGATTTTCCGTTTCCTCAACGGTCGGGCTGCACAACGTGCCTTTTTCGATACATTCCGAGACTGGCTACCGCCATTGCATGGGCTAAAACCAACCCTGCGTTTAGCGGAATTTGAAGTTACTGACATTCTCAGCGGTGAACTGACCGGAGACGCCGCTAAAGACTATATTCGCTCGTTAATTGAGCAGCGACTGACTCAAGCGGAATCAGTTATGTAGCGTATTACGAGTCATTTTTCAAAACTGCTCGACAGCAATCTCTTAAAAAACTCCGTTAGAAAAAGGAAGTAACATCCTAAATGAGCAAAAAATCGACCGGCTCCGTTTCTCTCTCAGACTATCCGCTGCTTCAACAGATCGGAAATACACCGCTGGTCAAAATAGACCTATTTGCCGATGAGTTGCCTGATGTAGAAATCTATGCAAAAGCAGAGATGTACAATCCGGGCGGCTCCATTAAAGATCGGCCTGTGCTGCGCATGTTGACCGAAGCTATCCGATCCGGCGAGCTAACGCGTGACAAGTTTGTTCTTGATTCGAGTTCTGGAAACGCCGCGATTGCTTACGCTATGATCAGTGCTGTCTTAGGCTACCAAGTGGAATTGATCATTCCCGAGCAACGCCAGTGAAGAACGAAAAAAACGGATTCAAGCGCACGGTGCAAATATCATCTATACGGACGCAATCCTTGGCTACGATGAAGCCCTCCGCGAAGTCCACCGCCGACATGAAGAAACACCCGATAAATATTACTTTGCCGATCAGTATAAGAACGAGAACAATTGGCGGGCACATTATGATACAACAGGGGTAGAAATTCTGAAACAAACGGCGGGACATGTCACCCACTTTGTCGCAGGGGTTGGCACAGGCGGAACAATTACCGGCGTTGGACGACGCCTCAAAGAGCACAATCCAGATATTCAAGTTTGCGGTATTGTTCCCGATGAATTTCCGGGTATTGAGGGACTCAAGCCGATGGGGAGACCCGAAGACATCGTCCCGGAGATTCTCGACGAGAGTATCATTGACAAAAAGATCCCTGCTACCATCGATCATGCGTATGACATGTGCAGCCGTCTAGCAAAGCGAGGATGGTTTGTTGGTCAATCTTCCGGAGGATACCTGCAAGGCGCTTATGAAGTCGCCAAAGAAATTAAAGAAGGGATTATCGTCACAGTCTTCAACGATCTCGGGGAGCGATACTTCAGCACACGACTGTGGGATTAGAATGGAGAATTTCAGATGTTCCAAGACCACTTAGACACATTAGCCTTTTCACATGAAATGTACAATCACGCCTCTCGTGCGATGGCGTTTCAGGCTTCGACAAGCGTGGAAGCGGAGGGGTGGCAGCACAATTTGAGAGCCAAGCTCGTTGAACTGCTCGGCGATTTTCCGGGCAAGAGGTGCGAATTGCTGCCCAGAGTCACGGAAACGAGGGAGTTCCCGACTTATACCCGTGAAACGGTGCTGTTTCAAAGCCGTCCAAACATGACCGTTTTCGGCTATCTGTTGCTGCCTAAAGATTTTGAAACGCCGGGTCCCACCATCCTTTGTCTACATGGACACGGACGCGGTGTTGACGACATCGTTGGGATTCAGGAAGATGGCACAATGCGAACCGAATACGGTGAGTACCAAAACGACTTTGCCCTTCAGTGTGTCGATCGGGGTTACGCCGCATTGGCAATTGAGCAGTTCGGATTTGGGCATCGCCGAGATGATGTAGCGTGTCAACGGGGGGCCGGCAATTCATCGTGTCAGCCCTCTTCCGGGGCAGCATTTCTGCTCGGACAGACGATGATTGGCTGGCGGGTTTACGATGCGATGCGATCTCTCGACTACCTTTCAACACGCCCTGAGATCGACATGAACCGCATTGGCGTTATGGGAATCTCTGGCGGCGGCACGACAACCTTTTACTCGGCGGCAATAGATGAGCGGTTCAAGGCTGCTGTCGTCAGCGGCTATTTCAATACATTCCGCGACAGCATCTTGAGTATCAGCCACTGTATCGACAACTATATCCCCGGTGTTCTCAAGTACGCGGAGATGTATGACATCGCTGGCTTGATTGCCCCGCGGGCAATGTTCGTCGAATCCGGCACGGAAGATACTATCTTCCCAATTGATGCCACCCGATTTGCGTTTGACCAAGCGCAAGAAATTTTTCGTGTCTTCGGTGCCGAAGATCAGTTGGGGCTTGAGGTGTTTGAAGCTGCCCATAGCTTTCACGGGGTTGGGGCATTTCAATTTCTCGACCAAAAGTTGTGATAGATAGGCTAATACGCGAATAACCGCAAGGAGGTTAGGTTGGAACGTACGCCCGTAATTGAGTTATTTTCAATTGGAACCGAGTTAATTCTCGGGCAGATTCAAGATACCAATGCCCATTGGATTGCACAGCAGATTCTTCAGTTAGGTGGACAGCTGCGTCGTGTGACGATGATTCGAGATGAGTTTGACGAGATGTTTGAAGCCATTGAAGATGCAATTCACAGAAAAACGGATCTGATCCTCACAACCGGGGGACTTGGGACCAACTCCCGATGACATGACTGTGCAGATTGTTGCAAACATCCTCGGGGTACAGCCCATTGTACATGAGGAAACATTAACCTCCTTTATGGAGAGGCGGGGTTTAACGAACCGTGACGACGTAACCGATGCGATGGTTAATATGGCAACCGTTCCCCGAAGCTGCTGAAGTCTTTCAAAATCCGGTCGGTTGGGCACCGTGCGTTCGTGTTACGAAAGATTCGTCGTCGATTCTGCTGATGCCCGGTCCGCCGCGGGAGATGAAGTCCATTTTTGAAGCCTATATTACACCGTTGATTGCTGAACGCTATAGCGCGAAAACTGCAACATTGCGCGTTCATGTAAATATGTTTGAGGCGGAAGTTTCGCCGCTTTTGCAACAGGTGATGGGTGAACACCCAAATGTCTACTTAAAAGCCTATGTCGCCTTGCGACGCGATGACAATCAGTATATGCCTGTTGATTTGGTTTCGACGGGCAGTGACGAAGACAACGCCCAATCCCAACTCCAAGCAGCAGCGGAGTATCTTCGCACACTTGTCATCGAAAAAGGCAAGATCTTCAGCCTTGAAGACGAGTGACAACTCTCCGTCATGAATGACGGAGTTATAGATCGGAAGATTTTGATAACCCTTTAACCCGTACAGAGGAGATGTATACAAGTGAGAGGCAAAAGACCGACACAAGGAAGAAGCACATCGCCAAGTAGAAATAGACCGACACAAAGTAGAGGTCCTGCACAAAGTAGAGGTCCTGCACAAAGTAGAGGTCCTGCACAAAGTAGAGGTCCTGCACAAAGTAGAGGGCCTGCACAAGGCAGAGGGCCTGCACAAGGCAGAGGGCCTGCACAAGGAACAGGAAAAGCTAGAAATAAAAAGAAAAACAAGCGTGATTATCGTAAAGATAAGGTTGAGGTTCGCGCAGAACAAGAGACTGAGGAAACCAGAGATGGTGTCCAATCTCAAGTCCGAGCAAAGGAAGATAAAATCGAAGTCCAAGGGACAGTAACTGAAACCCTGCCCAATGCCATGTTTCGGGTTGAATTGGATAACGAACACGAGATCTTAGCGCACATCTCTGGTAGAATGCGGAAGAATTTCATCAGAATTCTGCCGGGAGACAAAGTTCTTGTTGAACTTTCGCCCTACGATTTAACACGTGGACGTGTCATTTATCGAGATCCAGGGCGGCGATCCCAAGGTTAGATCCGTCGCTCAACAACAAACCTGATTACATTGAAGCACAGCATACATACGCTGTTTGTCAATTATCTGGGGTGTGCATTATCCGAGAAAAAGTAAGCTTTGGCGCAGAACCTACTCTTGATGCGGTCACGGTTCCCTAATCTATGATCGCCAGAGTCGTAGCTTGTTTCGCTATGAACATCTCTCCTCTCAACTTGTATCTCAATCCCTCGGAGCTTTCCGCCACGAGGGACGCACTCCGTAATGATTCACCCCCTTCAACTCTCTAACGTGATAATTCTGGATGATTGCCAGCTGTCACGCATCAGATTAATGCGTCAAATTGATTACGTCACGCGAGCGATTCATGTGGTCGGGCACCCAGCCCGGAGGAACAATGAAAACATCTCCAGCCCCGCGTTCCGAGTCCCAGATTACCTTACGTGCCGTGCTATTAGGGTTTATCCTGATGCCCGTGAACGCGTATTGGATCGCTATGGTCGAGATGGTCTGGCACGGCTTCCACTTCTCCGCAACTTCCATCCCGATGAATGTGATTTTCATCGTCTTCACCCTTGCCCTTGTGAACGCCGGCGTCCACCGGTTCTTTCCCAATTATGCACTGACTCAGGCCGAACTACTCGTCATCTACATTATGATGGCAACGACGACATCGGTGATCGCCCACGATAACATGGTGAGCCTTATGGGTCCGCTCACCCATGCGTTCTGGTTCGCCTCACCTGAAAATGAATGGAAGCAACTCATCCATCCTCACCTTCCAAAATGGCTGGTCATGGAACACATCGAGATGGCGCGCCCATTTTACGAAGGCGGCGCGAATTTCTTCACCGATGGCTATCTACGCTACTGGATAGCTCCTATCCTGAGTTGGACAGCAATCGCCACGTTAATCTTTTTTCTGGTTGCCTTCCTGAATGTCCTAATCCGACGCCAATGGATTGAGCATGAAAGGATGCCGTATCCAATCGCTCAATTGCCACTCGATATGACAGCTCCGGGCATGAGTTTCTTTCAGAACCGTGCAATGTGGTGGGGGTTCGGAATAGCAGCAACAATTGAAATTATCAACGGACTCAATTTTCTTTATCCATCCGTCCCATTGATACCTATTCGCGAACCGACCGCGGATCTCGCCTTGTGGCTGAACAACGAACCTTGGGATGCGATTGGAACAACCTATTTTCACTTGCGATTGTTCATGATCGGGTTGTGTTTTCTACTGCCGATCGATTTAAGCCTCTCAATGGCGTTCTTCTACTGGGTCCGAAAAGCACAATTCATTGGCGGGCGGGCTGCCGGCTTGTATACGATCCCCTACTACCCCTTCCAGCCGAACCAAGTCGTTGGTGCCTTCCTTGCGATTATTGCGATGGCGATTTGGGCGGGGCGGAAACATTTCCGGGAAATTTTGAAGCGGGTTATCGGCATGAACACTCCTCTTGATGATTCGCAAGAACCGGTGCGCTATCGATCCGCCGTCATCGGCATCTTGGTCTGTCTTCTCCTCCTCTATGTGATTTCCAGTCAAGCGGGAATGTCCACATGGGTGTTCCCACTCTTTTTTGGTCTATACATGGTGATTGCAGCAGCTGTTACACGTATTCGCGCAGAACTCGGTCCGCCCGTGCATAACATGGGGGGGTGTCAATCCGCAAACAATCCTAACATCGGTGGCTGGCGTAACAGCTTTTGGCAAGAGCGACCTGACGCTGTTTTCACTTTTTTCGTGGTTCAACGGCTCAAATCGGAGCCACCCGATGCCCCATCAACTGGAAGGCTTCAAACTTGCCCAGCGCACCGGAATCAACAATCGCCGGCTGATGGTGGTCATGCTCCTTGGAATTGCCCCCAGCGTTTTCATCGCTTTTCTTGTGTATCTCTACTGCTTGTACGATTTCGGTGCTTCAATTGCTGTAGACGCTCCCGGACAGGTGTTGGGACCGGGACAGGGGGTTTACAACCAACTCTCCGGTTGGTTCCAATTTCCTCGTGAGATAGACATTTTTGGCACCTTTGCAATCGGTTTGGGATTTGCATTTACCATGCTTCTGGGGCTCCTGCGACTCAAATTTATCTGGTGGCCCCTGCACCCGGTCGGATATGCGATGGGTATTAACGGCGGCACAATGGATCACTACTGGTTCGCCTTGATCCTATGTGGAACCATTAAGTTCATCGTCTTCAAAGTTGGCGGAGCGCGTTTATACCGGCGTTTCTTGCCCTTCTTCCTAGGGCTTATTCTGGGAGATGTTGCAAGTGGATGTTACTGGTCAATTTTGAGCGTGATTATCGAGACACCATTGTATGTGGTGTGGTTCTGGTAGTAAAGGGAGGGAACATGGCAACAATCTTGGTTGACCCACGCAGGCAGATTGACGCAATTCATCCGAACATCTATGGAAATTTCATCGAACACCTGCGGCGTTGTATTTACGGCGGTATCTATGAAGAAGGCTCGCCGTTGTCGGACGAGAGGGGCTTTCGGCGGGATGTGCTTGCAGCTATCAAGTCGTTAAAGGTGCCAAACATCCGTTGGCCCGGTGGGAACTTTGTCTCAGCGTATCACTGGATGGATGGTATCGGTCCGAAGGATGAACGTCCACGCAAAATGGAGTTGGCGTGGAATACGGTCGAATCGAACCGTTTTGGGACAGATGAGTTTATCCAATTTTGCCGTGAAGTCGGGACAGAACCCTATATCTGCGTCAACATGGGAAACGGCACAATGGACGAGGCACAGCATTGGGTGGAATACTGCAATGGGGTGGAGGACACCTACTATGCCAACCTCCGTCGGAAAAACGGTCACGACGAACCGTATGATGTGAAATATTGGGCACTGGGCAACGAGGTTTCAGGACACTGGAAGATTGGACACAAGCCAGCGGAGGAATATGCTGCCCTTGCGTACGAATACGCAAAAGTGATGAAACTGGTTGATAAAAATATCGAACTGGCTGCCTGCGGTTCATTCGAGCAAAATGCCTCCGATATGAAATGGAATCAGGTGGTGGTCGAAAAACTGGCGGACATCGCTGATTACCTCGCTATCCACATGTACGTTGGCGATTGGTATGGTGGTTATTACGAGTACATGGCCGCATCTGAGCATATTGAGAAATTCATCCGCGCCGCTCGTGGGATCATCGATGTTGGGGTATATTATTCCGAAAGTGGAAAGAAACTTAAAATCGCTTTCGATGAATGGAATGTGATGTACAGCCACGATCCTGAGCATCCGCGACATGAACGATATACATTGCAGGATGCCCTAGCGGTCGGGATGTTCCTCAACGCGTTCCTCCGTCATGCGGACGCTATCAAGTTAGCGAATATGGCGCAGTTGGTCAATGTCATTGCACCGATCCACACAAACACAGAAGGGCTGTTTTTGCAGACAATCTTCTGGCCCCTGCAACTGCACACCCTCGAAAATGGAACGATTGCCCTCGATGCACACTGGGATTCGGACTGTTTTGAAACGGAACAACACGGCAAAGTTCCATACCTTGATGCCTCTGCGAGCTATCAGCCAGATCTCGGACGCATCTCGATTAACCTGATTAACAGGCATCGGACGGATGCGCTGCCGGTCGTAATCGAAAATCAACATGGGAATCTCAAGAGCGATGGCACCCTGTTTGAAATTACCGGCGAAGATCCAATCGTGATGAACGGCTTTGGTGAAGAAAATGTAAAATTGGTGAAACGGGAATTGGAGTGCCCATCTAATCCGTTCACAGTTACATTGCCGCCGCACTCAATCTCAATGGTGCAGATATACCTTGGGTGAAACTATTGTCAGTTGCGTAAAATTTGGCAATGCTCAATATGAAACAGATCCCCTCCTTTGGGACAAGTAAAGGACACAAAGACGATGGGAACAGACACAGAACGTCCAAACCTTTTGTACATCCATTCCGACCAGCACAACCCCGCTGTCATCGGTTGTTACGGCGATCCACTGGTGCAGACACCGAACCTCGATAGTCTGGCAGCAAAGGGAGTCCTCTTTACAAACGTCTATTGCCCGTCACCCGTCTGTGTGCCTTCACGGATGTCGATGTTGGCAGGCAGATATCCATCTGAGATCGAGGTCTGGACGAACAACCACATCTTGGATTCCGGGGTTCCCACGTTCGCACACGCGATGGGGGCAGCGGACTACCATCCGGTGCTAATCGGCCGGATGCACGGATTGGGACCCGATCAACTACACGGCTATGCAGAGCGTCTGGTCGGCGATCACGGTGGTAATTACCCCGGTAGCGGGGAAGCCCCGAAAAATATGCGTGCTAGCTTGCAACAATCAGGGTCCGGTCAAAGCAGCTATCAAGTTCACGACGAGGATGTGACCGCCTCAACCGTAAATTACCTTGACCGGCTCGGTGTCCAAAAGCGGGCTGGCTTGTCAGCAGAGCCGTTCTGCCTCTCGGTGGGATTCATGCTCCCACATTCGCCCTACGTGGCACGTCGGGAGGACTACGAACTCTACCGAGATGTGATGACCCTCCCCAAACACCACGAACCGTACTCCGACGCACTTCACCCGTACTTCAAGTGGTGGAGAGAGTGGGGAAATCTCATAGATGTCCCTGAAGCAGAAATTCTTAGCGCACGGACGGCATATTGGGCGTTGGTGACACGGATGGACATAATGATTGGTGAGATTCTCAAAGCACTCCGAAAGAATGACCTAGCGGAGAACACGCTTATCATCTATAGTTCCGATCACGGGGATCAGATGGGCGAACACGGCTTGTGGATGAAGCGTACGTTTTACGAAGGTTCGGTCAAGGTGCCGGCGATTCTCTCTTGGCCCAGAGCCTTGCCGGAAGGTGTTCAGTGTGATCGCGTTCTCAGTTCACTCGATCTAAACGCAACAATGCTGGAAGCCCTCGGTGCACCGCCTCTACCCAACGCTCGTGGCAGAAACGTGCTCGATCTGGTGCGTCAGCCCGATACAGAGTGGGAGGATCTCGCCTTCTCTGAATACTGTACCTACGAGGACTGTTTGCACCGGATGATTCGGCGCGATGAGTGGAAACTGAATTACTACCACGGTCAAGAACCGCAGCTTTTTAATCTTGCTGAGGACCCCGACGAACTATCAGATCGAGCGCAGGATGCGAGTTGTCGGGAGATACGGGAACAACTGACCGCTGAGGTGCTGGAAGGCTGGGATCCCGAAGCGGTTGCCGATAAGATGGAACAAAAACGAGCAGACCTAGAGATTATCCGAGCTTGGGCAGAACACACCAAACCGAAAGATCAATTTCGTTGGGAACGCCGTCCGGAGATGGACTATTTGGATTGAATCCCCGTCCAATCAACGCAAGGAGATCCATATCAGATGTTACCGATTATTTATTGGTTAGCCACCGCTGCCCCGATTGAATCGGAAGCCACATTGACCCCTCCCGTCGCGAAAACCGATCCAAAAGTGGACACAGTGCACGATGAAGCGCGTGTCGATAACTATTTTTGGCTCAGGGAAAAATCGAACACGGAAGTCATCGAATACCTTAAAGCCGAGAATAAATATACCCAAGCGATGATGCAGCATACCGAGGGTTTTCAGGAACAACTGTATCAGGAGCTTCTGGGAAAAATCAAAGAAACCGATCTCTCCGTCCCCGAAAAGATGGGCGACTACTACTATTACAACCGCACCGAGGAGGGAAAACAGTATCCGATCTATTGTCGGAAAAAGGGAAGTCTAGAGGCGGAGGAGGAGATACTTCTAGATCAGAACGCACTTGCCGAAGGGCATGAATACCTAGAAATAGGCGTCTATAAAATCAGCCCGAACCATCAACTATTGGCGTATTCCATCGATACGACCGGCGGAGAGAGCTATACCCTGTATGTCAAAGACCTGGACACCGGTCAACTGTTAGGGGATCAAATTCCGAACACCTACTATAGCGTTGAGTGGGCAAACGATAATCAGACCCTCTTTTACACCACACTGGATCCGGCGAAGCGTCCCTATAAACTTTACAGACACCAACTCGGCAGCGATCCGGCAGCGGACGCCCTTATCTATCATGAGGCAGATGAGTCGTTTTTCCTAGACGTTTCCAAAACAAGGAGCAACGCTTACCTGCTGATGGAGTTGGAGAATATCAATACTTCTGAAGTCCACTATCTAGAAGCCGATCAACCCACAGACGAATTCAGAGTCATTTCGCCACGCCAATCAGAGTTGGAGTATTCCGTTGAACATCACGGCGATCAGTTCTTCATCGTTACCAACGCAGAGGCGGTGAATTTCAAGTTGATGCGTGCTTCTGTCAACAATCCGTCGAGAGAAAATTGGGAGGAAGTAATACCCCATCGGGAGGCGGTAAAAACTAGACAGCGTCAGTGCCTTTCGGAATCATCTGGTTATTTCTGAGCGGGAAGATGGACTCCAAAAAATCCGGATGCGCAACCTCATCACGGACGAAGCGCATGCGGTGGACTTCCCCGAACCCGTCTATACAGTCCAGCAGGGAGGAAACCCGGAGTTCAATACAAATACCCTCCGTTTCAACTACGCCTCGCTCGTTACCCCGATGTCGGTTTTTGATTATGAGATGGACGCCAGAACGCGCGAACTGAAGAAACAGGACGAAGTTCTCGGTGGATACGACCCGTCCCTTTACGAATCGGAACGAATTTTTGCCAAAGCGGCTGACGGTACGCCCGTCCCGATCTCGCTGGTCTATAAAAAAGGGTTGGTCAAAGATGGGGGTGATCCGCTGCTTCTATACGGATACGGCTCCTACGGCATCAACAGCGAACCCTATTTTTTATCGAACCGCTTGAGCCTGTTAGATCGCGGCTTCAGATGCGCTATCGCTCACATTCGGGGCGGCGAAGAGATGGGGCGAGCGTGGTATGAGAATGGCAAACTTCTCCACAAAAGAAATACATTTACCGACTTTATCGCCTGCGCCGAGCACTTAATCGCTGAGAAATATACTGCGAGCAGCAAGATAGTTATTGAAGGCGGTAGCGCGGGCGGACTGCTCATGGGCGCAGTCACAAATATGCGTCCGGAGCTTTTTGAGATTGTTATCGCAAAAGTGCCTTTCGTCGATGTCGTCAACACCATGCTCGACGCCTCTATCCCCCTGACTGTCATTGAGTATGATGAGTGGGGCAACCCTAACGAGAAAAAGTTTTACGATTACATCAAATCGTATTCCCCCTATGACAATATTGAGGCGAAAGAGTATCCGCATATCTTGGTGACAGCGGGACTCAACGACCCGCGGGTACACTATTGGGAGCCTGCCAAATGGACAGCGAAACTACGCACATTGAAAACAGAGGATAATCAACTGCTTCTCAAAACCGAGATGGGTGCGGGCCATGGGGGACCTTCAGGGCGGTACGACTACCTGAAGGAAATGCTTTTGAGTATGCGTTTATCTTCGATCTGTTAGGAATAGACAAATAGGACGCAAAACAGAAGATAACGCCCCAATTGAGTGATCTTGAAATTCTGGTTGACACCCCGAATTTTCAAGAGGTATGATAGGAACATGATTGAACAGCCAATACTTCTAACTATTCAATTACTCACGAGGTGACAGATGAGTTTACAAGACAAAGTTTGTATCATCACCGGCGGCGGTAGCGGCATCGGGCGCGGCGCGGGGATAATGATGGCGCAGCAGGGTGCCAAGGTGGTCCTAGTCGGTAGGACAGCAGCAAAGGTCGAGGTGGTCAGAGATGAGATTATTGCCGACGGCGGCACAGCCGTAGCCATCTCACTGGATGTCGCTGACCATGACGCCGTCCATCAGATGGCAAAGGATGTCCTCGACACCTTTGGTCGGATTGACGTGTTGGTGAACAACGCCGGTCATAGCTCTAAAAATCGGCGGCTGCTTACCATCACGCCGGAGGAGATTCGCAGCGTCTTCGATTCCAACCTGATTGGCACGATTTATTGCACACAAGCGGTGGTCCCCGCCATGCTGAAGGCGAAGCAGGGCACTATTATTAACGTCTCGTCTCTAGCTGGTGTAACTCCTGGACCTTTTAGCGGATTAGCTTACGGTCCTGCGAAGGCGGCGGTCATCAATTTCACCGAATTTCTCAATGTCGATCTTCGGAACACCGGCATTCGAGCAAGCGTCATTATTCCCGGTGAGGTTGACACACCTATCCTTGATAAGCGTCCCGTTCCGCCTCCCGACGACACTCGCCTCGAAATGGTGGATGTCGATGAAACTTCAGCGACAATTTGTCTCATGGCTAGTCTCCCACAACGGACTAACCTCCCATCAGTGGTTATCAGACCGACAATGCAGCGGGATATGTCCGGAGAGGTAGAAGCAATGCCAGATGTGAACTGAGAAAACGAGACGCTGAAACCTAAGTCGCGGTTGGAAGCAGGAAGAAAGAAAAATCTATTCTTGGTGCCCCCAGCACCAGCAAAAGGAGGTTGGAAGGAGAAAAAACAATATGCCAACGACCAATCCTTATCTCGAACTAGATCGGAAAATCGTTGGGGATATATACACCTCAACTGAACCGATGGCGTTGCTGACAACGCTCTGTGACGATTTTGGATCGCGATTCGGTGGAACGGAGGGCGCAGCCCTTGCCGCTGACCTACTGGAAGAGAAATTTGCTTCCTATGGGCTGGCTAACGTCCATAAAGATGCCTACGACTACGATGGATGGTATCGCGGGGCGGCGACCTTGGAGATTCTCAGTCCTGTAGTGCGTGAAGTGCCGTGCATCTCACTGCCTTACTGTCCAGCTGCAGAGGTGGAGGAAACCTCGTTTTCGTCGATGAAGGGGTTGAGAAAGATTTCGAGAAAGAGAAGGCTCGTCTTGCAGAAAATATTGTCATTTCTCGGAGCGGCGGCATCCACCGTATGGAAAAGTATGACCGCGCCATTTTATACGATGCAAATGGATTCATCTTTCAGAATCACTATCCCGGCTACGGCGAAGTCACCGGCACCGTTGGCTGGAATCACGAAGCGGTTATCCCCGGCATCGGGATCTCCTATGAGACCGGGGAATTTCTTCACCGCCTGTCTCGGCAAAATGGGGCAGTGCGTGTAAGGATTAAGACCACCGATGCGTACCGCCGCACAACGGCGTGGAACATTGTAGGGGAACTCCGTGGCACAACACATCCCGAAGAGGTCATTATCGTTGGGTGTCATTATGATGGACACGACATCACGCAGGGTGCTAATGATCCACTCAGTGGGATGGTGGTCGTCACAGAGATGGCGCGTGTACTGTCGGCTTATGCGGGGGATGGGTTAGCTCGCACTGTACGATTTATCGCTTGGAGCAATGAAGAGGTAGGATTATTCGGCGCGTATCACGATGCCCAGGGGTTAGGCGACAATTTGGCGCATGTCCGCTTTGTTTGGAACTTGGATTCTGCCGGTAGTCCCGGCGGACGGAAAGGGATTCAGCTTCACCGACTGCCGGATTTTGAGCCTTTCATTGGAAACGCAGCCGAAGAGATGGGTCAAGATATCTCTGTTGGACAGGGTACTAGTTGTTACTCCGACCACTATCCCTATTTCCTCAAGGGTATTCCAACGGGCAGCATCACGACGGTCGGTCGTCCGCCCGGCAGGGGTTTTGGACACACGGCGTTTGATACGGTGGATAAGACCGATGCCATGTCTATCCGAGAAGCAGCAGCACTCGGTGCACGGCTCGTCCTGCGTCAGTTAAATGCGGAATCGTTGCCACTTCAACTTCGAGAGGCGGAAGAGGTCGAGCGATTTCTACAGGAAGACTCCGGGTTGGAACAACATCGGCTGCGAGAGGCGGTTTACGAGAAACTTGGCAAGGAAAATCTGCGGCAGTATTGTGACGCTGTCAGAGCGTGATGCAGCAATCAGGTGCCCTTTTTGCGATCTTGGCTCTTTTGCGCGCCCTTTAACAGTTGCTTCCGCATAGTTTCAAGCTGCTTTTTTCGCGTCAAGTTTTGGACAACCGTTCCTGCGAATGTCTTAGGTTTGCGTTTCGGTTTCATGATCAATACCCTCCACTCTTTGGAAACGTCCTTTCCGCGAAGGGGTTTCGCCAATCTCCTCTACGATTCACCCCATGAAGTCTGCACTGTTGGCAATCGTCACCCCTAGTTGTGACATATCGTGCAGGAACGCATCGCCGAGCGATTCAAAGCCGGGGACATTTGACGAACAATCCTCAAGGATAACCAGCTTCTCCGCCCCTTCAACCCCTAGCTCGGCGGCGACATCTCGCACCGTACTTGCGACGCAGTGGGACAACGCTTCGCCAGCGATAATCACCTGATCGCACTGTTCCAGTTTCTGGATTAGTCGGTATTGAGCTGCGTGGCGGGATCTTCCGAATCCGGGACATCCGCCTTCACCGCACTGTAGTGTCTCGTGAAGATATTTGAACCCTTCGTCACAAAATTAACAACCCCCAATTGGGATGCCTCCCAGTCTCGTACCGCCTGATCCACAGAAGGATAGAGCGCGCTCCCCCACGTCGCGATCCGGCAGTGTATGGGCCAAATTGTCAGCTGATACCGATTATTTTCTTCCAACAACCGCGTGTAATCCAGCATCCGTTGAGTAAACGCCGAATCGTACGGCAGCCAGTTTCCAGCTTTGATGTCCTCATGCGTGATGGTGGTAAATGGTTCCGGCGACTCACCGTCACGATTTTTCCAAAATATCGGATGCCCGACATCAACCGTGTGATGGCTGTCAAGCGTGAAGTGCATATTGTGTAGACGACTCCCGATCCGAGCGATAAACGTCGCCAAGCGGGTCATATCGTCTTCTGCGCCCGGCACATAAAGCGCGCCTTCGGGATCACAGAAGTCATTTTGGCAATCAATGGCTAAAAGTTCAACGCGCATGGCTAACCTCCTTTTTCCTTCACGGACTCTCTGAAATAACTTGATGCTTGGGAATTTTTAATTTGGTCGTGGTGTAATTATACTACAGTACCCGTTTGATAAACGATATAAAAAGATGTATAATAGTACCAACCGACGAAAAAGAGTGGCACATCTGCGGATCTGACCTGCACATCTATCATGCTCACATCAAGATACTAGAATTAAAATATATCAAATTTGACGCAACATTCGCTATTACAGGAGGTGGAAATATGGACTTTTTAAACGGATTATGGCTGACAAAAAGGAACGATCGGTAACAACCAAACAACAGATCGGCACCTCTCTCTCACAGCGAGATTCCATTGAGAAACTAAATTTAATGGAACATTCCTTTAACGCACTCACACACGCAGGTGTTCAGACAGTGGAGCCTGTTGGAGAACTCTTAAAACTAGTTGAATCAGGCGAACTCCGAGCCATTCATGAGCGTCTTAGAAGTACATCTATTTTAGAACATAGACGCTTAAGTTGGCTCCACATTGGCAATCGCTTGATAAGTCTGAGGGTGAAGCAATCAAACGCGACTCCAGACCAGAATGATGTTCCCCTTTCACGAGAAGTCTCTATTGAAAATCGAGTTAACCCACTCCTAACCAGCTACACACAGATAGTCAGGCGGTTAGCGAGGTCGAGCAACAGGTCAAGTCAAGTGAATCCCCAACTATCTCTGAGAGTGATGCGAATGTAGACACGATGCCAGCCCAAAATGATGCTTCCCTTTCACAAGAAGACGCCACTGAGGAACCGAGTTTGCCTCAACACTCCCCTAATCCGCTCATACATACAGAGAGCCAGACGGTTGGAGAGGGTATACAACACGTTGAATCAGCCGAAATCCAAACTATTCTCTGATGGATGACGACAATACAGGACACCACGCCAGAACCAAGAATCGTCTCCCTGTCACGAGAAGATTCCATTGAAAGACTGAGTTTGACTCGACATACTCTTAACCTGCTATTTTAAACACGACAGATATTCGGACGGTTGGGGATCTATTACAATGGATTGAATCAGGCAGGCTTCAAACGATCCCTGCCCTTGGAAGAATCTCTATCTTAGAAATAGAAGATGAATTGGCCCGGGTGCCCGCCCTTGATGATGCCGGGTCGATGCAAAGTCAGGCACACGCTCCAGACCGAGAATGCTCGCCGTGCTTCACAAGAAGATGTCCGCTGAGGAAACCCGAATGTTTGCTCAACACGCCCTAATCCGCATATTACATACAGAGAGTCAGAGGTGTGAAGAGACCGCCCGTCACACATTGAAAAGTAGGCGAAATCCAAACTATCTCTGATGTTGAAGGAAATACAAATGCAATTTCAGACCGGGATTATGGTCATCTCTCGCTGGAAGATCCCATTGAGCATCTAAACTTTACTCCACGTTCCTTTAATGCGCTCACACGTTCAGGTATTCGGACAGTTGGAGAGGTTATACAACTGGTTGAATCAGGCAGGCTATCGAAACGATCAGCTCTAGTGTACAAAATCATCTTAGAGATAGAAATACGAGGGCGTCAGGTGGAAATCCTTGATGATCTGAGTTGTGTGAAACGGCAGCAGATTCGCACGCGGAAAAACACTCGACGATTTCGGATGAATCCCAGAGTGGAAATACTATGGATCCCATCCGGCTTCCAGTCCAATTCAGAGGAGGATTCCACAGCACCGGGCGAAGAGGCGCAAGACGCTAAGCGAACTGACCACAGCCTCAATCGATCCCAAACAGACGCCGTACGCCGGAACACTGGGCGGAAATTTTACAAAATCACACGAAGATTGGCTCAAGGTGAAAACCATCGGAATACTATGTCCTGGTTCTCTTTCGAGAGGACTGAGACTTGAGGAAGATGAATTTGAGCGAACATTCCTTTAATACTCTCAGGCGTGTAGGTATTCGGACGGTTGGAGAAGTCTTACACCTGATTGCATCGATTAGACTCAAAACTATTCGCGAGCTTGGAGCGAAATGTATCTTGGAAATTATGGAGATACTAACTCAGGTAAAAATTTTTAATGATTCCGACGCTCGCTGGTTGTCATCAAGCATGTGGATGGCTGTGCGGAGGGATGTCAAAATGTCTCATGATCTACAAGGTGAAATCAAAAGGAGGAAACGATGAAATCCGATCCAGTTGTCAGATGGCAATCAGAATAGTTGGCAGCATCCTTCGCTATCAAAGGGCTTTGCTTCATGAAGATACGTATTATTGCAGAAGTCGATAAAAGAATGGCTTCAGAGATTAAGACGACTAGAGACTAACTGTGTATATGAGTTTTAGCGGCGATCTTAGTTCTCACTCATATCTGTGAGGAGATTGAACTCTTCTTACCTGCTACCCCTATACATACCAGTATGAACTATTTTGTTCTCTATGTATGGTCTGAAACAAAACCTTGGCAACACGGGGAGGAACTAGGTCTTCACGTGAAAGAGTAAGGCAGATCGCAATGAAGTCCAGGACAAAGTTACCTCGATTATTAACCTCAAGACTAAGCCCGCTTTGCTTAGAATGCAGTCCGCTCTTCTCATCGCCGGCGATTTAGGCTAGACATTACCTCATAAAGATGGGTAGCAGCGAATTCGGTCATCAGGCCTCGTTGGTGCTGACATCACAGGACTTCCTGTCGGTGCATGATGCGGTTGAGATTATGGTTGGTGCAATCTGCATCTACTCATCGATGGTAAGATTCATTGGCTACAATGCTGAGAACGATTTAGAGTATGCTGTGCAACGTGCACTGAAGGCAACAAATATCCCAGCTAAATAAAACTACATGCGCTTGAAACTTTACCTGATGAGTATAACGGTTAATCAACGGACATACTAAAATTCCGAGGTGTACATGTTAGATGGCTTTCACAAGAAAGCGGCATGGAGTTAAAGGAAATCAAAGATATATTGCAGTGGCAAGGATATAAAAACTCTTTCGAAGATTGGTTTGTTTCTAACCCCTCTCAAACCTCATATCATGACGTTTTCCATCGTTGCCTACGCAAAATGTTTCAATATTGTGGTCCATTGAATATTGATGATGTCTGCGCTGGTTGCGACATCTGTTATCAAGAAACATGTTGTATTATCAGAGAGAGGGAATTTCCGGTTCCCTCCTGATGTGATGGCTGAGATAGTCAGCATTCATAGTACAAGTGTAAAGATGAATTGTACTACTGGACGGTGCTATGACGAGAATCCAAATGAAGGCGAACAATCATAATGGATTGTTTAGAGCAAATCGGACCAGTGTTGCATCATTCGGAATTAGTTCACGCCTTCATAGAAGCGATATGTCTTTCCCCTTTATATACATGCAACTCTGAAGTATTCTCCTTTGTTTGACAGGATAGAGTACGGTTTATAAAGCTGCGCGGGAAGAATACGAGAAGTAATCTGACCATGGATATAGAGCGTGCCAAAGCTGCTGGAGAACAGCAATCACCTAGACCGGAGATTGAATACGATACAGAAGGAAACATCATAGTGAGTGTCACCCTCAGCGCAGTTGCTGTAGGCTCAGGCACAATTTTTTGCGAAAGATTTCCAGATCTAAGCGGTGCAGATTGGGAGTCCTACGTCGGTAGTGAGAGAGCGGGTGAACTAAATGCAGTTGAAAATGAGTTTCGACACTTGAAAAGGCCCTTTGAGCTGCTGGATTGTCAGCCGGGAGACCGTCTGAAGTTTACATTCAACACATGGGAAAGAAGGGTTACAATAGAGCAGGAGGGGCTGGATGGAAAAGGCTGAGTTTTCAAAACCAGAACTCGTGACGATAGCAGTAGCACTCTTAGGCGGAGACACAATGTATGTCGATCGTGAGGATGTTGCCCTCAAGGTGAATGATATTGCACCGGGGCAATTTAACTGGCGAAAATATCCTGAACGAACGACCTAGATGCTGTTGGTGGCACGCTCCGAACGGCGAAGAAACCCCAAAACGGCGCATTGGTAGTCGGGAACAATACAAAAGGCTGGATGCTCAGTCCCGCAGGTTTGAAGTGGGTAAAAACCATAGACCTCGGTGCCGTTGACGATGAACTTCCAGTTAAACACAGGAAAGCTTCTATCTCCGCAAATCAGGAGCTAGAGCGCGACCGTTTGTTCAACACCAAAGCGTATAACCTATTTGTTGAAGGCAGATCTAAAGAGATCTCCGTACAAGATTTCTACGAGTTTGCACGAGTGAACGAATATTTTCAGATCAAAACTAGGCAGCGACGATACGCAATCATAGCAAACGCCGTAAGCGATGATGATACCTTATCGAAATTGTGGGATTTGCTGCAGACGAAATTTTCAAAGGAGATGGAGTAATGGCGAGACAACGCTCTATTGAGGTAACTTCGCATGTGGCTAGGGATTCCTCAGAACGCTGCGTATTTTAATACCATGTCCAAAGTAGTTTGGGAATACGTTGCCAAACTCTTGGATGCCGTCAAAGATGAACATCTAACAGTCATTGCAGTTGAGATAACAAGCCACGAAGTGAGCATATCTGACAATAGTCGTGGCATGTCCAGAAAAAGAGTTAGGCAGCTTCTTTCAGATGCACGGGGAGAACATCCTTAGAAAACAGGGACGGAGAGTCCGAGGACGATTTGGTACAGGCAAATGTGCCGCCTTTGGCTTGGCAAATTCCCTTCGCATTGAAGCAACTCAGAAGGCTTGAGAAACGTCGTTGAATTACATAGGAAAGACATTGAAAAAGCACAAAGTGGCGAACCGTTTTCGGTTCGAGGACATCGAGGTAAAATCAGCGACAGATGAAGACGATGGAACAATCGTAGTCATTCGCGAATTCAACATAAAACGTCCGGACGTTGATAAGGTGATTTCATACGTTGAACGCCATCTCAGCCGCTACCGCACCCGTGCCCATGTCACTGTAAACGGGCATGTGTGCAAGTTTAAAGAACCACCATCTGTAGCGCAATTTGAAAGTCTTCCGCCAACAGGGGTTGCCAAACACATTGGTGACGTATCCCTGAATGTGAAAGTGTCTCCGGCACCATTAGATGATGATACACGCGGGATTGATATTTTATCACACGGCATCTGGCATGAAACGACACTTGCAGGAATTGAAAGAAAAGAGAACGCGAATCAAATTTTTGGGCAGATCGATGTGCCGATCCTAGAGGACGGTGAGTGGCCCATTCCAGCCTTTGACAATACAAGAAATAACACGTTGAACCGGCAAAATCCCGTGGTTGTGGTACTACTGGGGTGGCTTTCACAAGAACTTGAAGAAATAAGATCAGAACTTGTGAGACAAGCTCGTGAAAAGCGTCAATCAGAAATGGAAGCAAAGCTGGTGAAAGAAGCTGATAGAATCTCGAATATCCTCAACCAAGACTTCGCGCAACAAGAACTTGAACTTGAAATGGTTCAAAGAGTTAAGCGTTCTAGGAGTGGAGATGTACAGGGAAATACTCCGAGGAAGAAACCAGCTGCACCGGGAGGAAATAAATCCAAGCCGAGAAAGGATCCAAGCGGAGAGGACAAAAAACGAAGAAAAGCAGTTTTCTCCATTGAATTTGAGCGTGTCACCGCCGAGCAAAATCGATCAAGGTATACTGGAGATACAAAGACGATTTTTATAAACTTAGACCATCCCCAAATCGCTAGCGCATTTGAAACTGGAGGCAATTCTACTGATTCACGAGAGTTTCGAGAAGTTTGCTATGAAGTCGCAGCAGTTGAATATGCGATTGCTTTACCGTATGAGAAACTTGAGAAGGACGAGCTGTATCCCGCAGGGAAGACGCGTTGTTTGATGTAAAGGAAACCATCGATCGGGTAACTAAGCGGTTTATGGAGCACTTTTATACTGCTGGCAGTTAGACACGCTTTGCTATACACATAGCACTCCTCTGGAGTGCATAGATGGGATGCATCGACATTCTATAGACATATCGCTCTGCTAGAGTGAAAGATTGAATACACCAACTTTAACAACAAACCGATAGATTTTCAACGGCTATCAATTTTGGTAACCATACAAGGAGCATAACTATGCGAGCAACACACAAATGGACTGATGAAACGGTAACAATTTGCATCGAAGGACTGAATCAAACGGTTCGGATGCTTCACGTCACCGATTCACACATTGCCCTCATTGACGACCGTGACGCTGAACATATAGAGGCTTGTACCGGAGCGTGCGAGCGTTTTGAATCGAGAGAACAGATCTTTGACCAACTGATGGAAGAAGCCAAAGAGAGTTCTCTGGATCTGGTTGCGTTGACAGGTGATATAGTGCATTTCCCTTCTCAGGCGGGTGTCGAAAGTGTCGTAAAATCAATTGATAAGGCAGGCGTGCCGGCACTGTATACCTCCGGAAACCACGATTGGCATTATCCGGGCGTGGAGGGACGAGGAGAATTGCGGGAGGCGTGGTGGGGTGCACTGGCACCGCTGCATCACGGACAGGCGGCGTATGCCCGATATGAAATCGGTGGCATCCAATTTTTATTAATCGATGATTCCACTTATCAAGTAAACAAAGAACAGACAGCGTTTGTGGATACACATTTGGCAAGTGGGATGCCAACCGTGCTGCTCACCCATATCCCTTTGAGTCTGCCAACGCTACGGGAACCAACATTAAAGCACTTCGATGCTCCAATTCTAATCGCAGACCCAGAATGGGGACCTGAGAGTCGAGATCGATGGGGCACGGGAGAAAATCTACCCCCAACCTTAGAATTTGCGCGTACCCTTGTGAGGGCGGAAAATCTTGTTGCCGTATTTTGCGGTCACATCCATTTTGCACATGCAGATAGCATCAATCTCAATGCTGTCCAGTATGTGGGAGCCCCTGGGTTTGATGGTGCAAGCCGGTTGGTGGAGTTCCGTCCACTGTAGAGAACGCAGATCTGCGTTTCCTACAAGTTAGCAAGCAAGGGAAATATATAGGGGCATTTAGTTTTCTGTTTTGGCTATGTCCCGCTGTTCGTAGTAGCACGTTCTATCCCGACCCTGTAGGCGGGGCATCTTGCCCCGCTATTTGTAGTAGCGTGTCCATTGCGCTTTTTTATACCAATTGTCGAGGGCGTCTTTTATCCGTGTAATCCGTCAATCCGTGTTTATCCGTGATTCAGATTGCTTTGAATCCCGCCTGTCCCGATTTATCGAGGATCTATCGGGACAATAATATGGGAGAATTATGGTGAATCAGAGAAATAAGTAGACATCTACAATAACTCCGACCTTCACGAAGTTTCCAAAGTCCCCCTGATAAGGGGGATTTAGGGGGTTGGCTGTGCATTGGGAGGGTCTAAGTAATTCTAAAATCTACCATAAATGACCCTAGGGAAATATACATTTGGGGTTGAAACATACCGCATGATTTGTTAAAATGAACCCGCTCAAATCTCACGTATCATATAAGAAAGGATAGCACCATGCAGAAACTGACAAAGCTATTCTGGCTGCTGACGGTCATCAGCACCTTCCTAGTTTCGTCTTCCGCTTTTGCTCAAGAAGAAGTAGTTGAACCGGAAGTATCCCCCGACTCCTCACACAAAACGTCAAATGCACAGCAGATACCTTCGCGAAAGTATGTTGAATTATCAATCAAGGGACCACTTGCAGAGGTCAGACCCACATTTGTATTTTCGCCAAGCATCAAAACTCTCCGAAGCATAACAAAACAGCTCGACAAAATCCGCAAGGACGGCGAAGTCACCGGCGTCTTACTGAAGATCGAGAGACTTGGGATCGGTTGGGCGAAGCTACAGGAACTCCGTGACAAAATCATTCAACTCCGAAGCAGCGGGATCGAAGTTATCAGTTATCTCGAAAGCGGCGGTAATGTGGAATACCTGCTCGCCTGCGCCGCGGATCGGATTGTGTTGATGCCGGCAGGGATGGTCGGTTTGACAGGACTGCGGGCTGAAGTGATGTTTTACAGAGGCCTTCTGGATAAACTAGACATTAAAGCGGATATGTACGCTGTCGGTAAGTATAAATCAGCGATTGAGCCGTTCATGCGAGACAGTATGTCGGAAGCCCAGAGAGAGGCAATGACTGCGATTCTCGATGACCTTTATGCACAACAGGTTGAAATGATTGCCAACGGACGGGGTGAAATTGATGCGGCGTTGGCTGCGGATCTCATTGATCAGGGACCTTTTACCGCCGAAGAAGCATATCAGGCAAAACTAGTTGATGCAATCCAATACTATGACGAACTTGTGCAATCAATTGAGGAACGTGCGGAGGAAAAAGCCGAAGTTGTGTCGGAATACGGCAAAAAATCAACGGAAGCACCTGAACTCACCGGCTTTGCGGGTTTCATGAAGCTTTTTTCGATGCTTGCATCGCCAAAGAAGCCAACCTCCGGGGCGGGCAAACCGAAGGTTGCGTTAATTTACGCTACCGGTCCCATCATGTCCGATGCACCTACCAGTCCATTCACAACCGGACAGGTTATTACCCCTAGTGTGATGACAAAAGCACTCCGTGAAGCCCGCGAGGACAGCGACATTCAAGCGGTCATAATGCGGGTTGATAGTCCCGGTGGATCTGCGGTCGCATCAGACGCCATTTGGCGGGAGGTGCTGCTAACGCAACAGGAAAAACCCCTTATCGTATCAATGTCGGACGTTGCCGGATCGGGTGGGTATTACATCGCCATGGCTGCGGGAACGATTGTTGCCGAGCCGGGGACGATTACCGGCTCGATTGGGGTACTTGGCGGAAAACTCAACCTCAAAGGACTCTACAACAAAATTGGGCTGACAAAAGAGGTTATCACACGCGGGCAGAATGCGAATCTCTATTCGGACTATGGCGATTTTACGCCGACAGAGCGTGAGCGGTTGCAGAAATTGTTAGAGACAATTTATCAGGATTTCGTCCGAAAAGCTGCTGAGGGCAGGGACAAAACCGAAGCGGCGATTCACGAACTCGCACAGGGACGGATCTGGACAGGAAAACAGGCCAAGGAGATTGGGCTTGTCGATGAACTGGGTGGACTCGATACCGCACTCGCAATTGCCAAAAAACAGATCGCACTAGATCCCACCGATGAGATTGACCTCATCATACTGCCAAAGCCGAAGACGTTCTTTGAGACACTGATAGAGGATATGGAGATGGGCATACGGCTTCCGATAACGCCTCACCTTCCATTGCCGACACCGATTGAACATGCTTTGCCGAGTTTTTACTGGCTGCATCTGTTTACCAATGAACCCGCCGCAACGGTGATGCCATTTGAGATTGTTATCCGGTAGGGTGGATACAAGGAGAGAGACGAATTGACTCGGATCAAGATTTGTGGGATCACCAACATCGACGATGCACTGATGGCAATTGATGCGGGTGCGGATGCCCTCGGCTTCGCATTTGTTCCTGATACGCCACGCTACCTCAAAGATACAAAAGCTGCTGCAAAGATTATCGAACAACTTCCCCCTTTCATCACAACGGTTGGACTGTTTGTCAACGCAGCCCCAGAGGTGATTCAGGCAATCGCCGATGAATGCCATCTGGACATGCTACAGTTGCACGGTGATGAATCTCCTCAATTCTGTCGAGGGCTCAATCGCAGGGTCATCAAAGCGGTGCGAGTCAAAGATGAATCGAGTTGTTCCCATCTGTCCGATTATCGTGTCAGTGGATATCTGCTGGATACTTATGTCAAGGGAGCAATGGGGGGAACAGGAGTAGCGTTTGATTGGCGGCTTGCTGTAAAAGCGAAACAGTACGGTCAGGTTATTCTCGCGGGTGGACTCAATCCTGATAACGTTGGGGCAGCTGTCCAACAAGTGCGTCCCTATGGCGTTGATGTCAGTAGTGGTGTCGAGGTGAGTCCCGGGCGGAAGGATCCAGTCAAAGTGGGGGCATTCATTCGGAATGTGAAAGAGGTAGATCGCGAATGGAAACAATTGAACTGATTTACAAACGCCTACCGGATCGCGTAAACCACTTTCCACAAAATCTGCTTTACGAAGACGACGATATCATTGTCACCACGCAACGAATCAAGCCTTCCAGCCCAATTGTCATTGATGGCGTGACTGTCCTTGGGGATAACTACCGGGCAGTTTGGTTTGTCTTCGCCAATCGCTGGTATGACATTGGAAAAATCTATAACCTCGAAGAACACTTCACAGGATACTACTGCGACATCATCCTACCGATGAAAAGGACGGACACACATTTTGAAATAACCGATTTATTTTTGGATCTGTGGGTTTCACCGGATGGCAGCTATCAGGTTGAAGATGAAGATGAATTTGAATCAGCTATAGCGCACAATTGGATACAGACCGATTTGGCAAATCAGGCGAGGAATGCACTGCAAGACTTGATTGCTGAGATTGAATCCGGTGCTTTCCCGCCGGAAATCACGAATCGCTGGTGATGGGAAATCAGCAATTTACCTTACATTTTGGAGTCCGCTAGGTAAATCGTGCGGTGCCTTATCTAGCGAATCCTTCACGCACTACGCTTTACGGAGACTTTAGCTATGTCCACAATAACTAACGGGAAAGTTCGAGACGATTTCCGGCTTTTTGCTGGGCGCGCCAACCCGGCATTAGCGAAGGAGATTGCTGCGGTTTTAGGGATTGAATCGGGGAAAATTTCAGTCAGCACGTTTCCCGGAGATGAAACCCACGCCCAAATTGAAGAGAGTATCCGGGGGGCTGATATCTATATTGTGCAGCCAACATGCCCACCAACCAACGATAATCTGATGGAGTTGTTGGTCATCATTGACGCGTTGAAACGTGCTTCTGCCCAGCAAATTACCGCTGTTATCCCCTATTTCGGCTATGCACGACAAGACCATAAATCGACAGGGCGAGAGCCGATTAGTGCGAAACTAGTAGCGAACCTGCTAACAACGGCGGGCGCGAATCGAGTTGTCGCCGTGGATCTGCACGCCGCACAGATCCAAGGTTTCTTTGATATCCCCGCTGATCATCTGACAGCACTGCCGACACTAGCAGATTATTTTAGGGAGAAGCAGATTGAAGATGGCGTAATCGTGTCTCCCGATGTCGGTCGGGCGAAACTGGCGGATAAGTATGTCGATATGCTTGGCATGCCGTTGGCAATCATGCACAAACGGCGAAGCGGGACTGGTGGGAGAGAGGTAAAGATCGTGACTGAAATCATCGGTGACGTTGTGGACAAAACCCCAATTATCATTGACGACCTCGTAACAAGTGGGAGCATCTATCAACAAGCGGATGCTATTGTCGAAGCGGGTGCCAAGCCAGCGTACCTTAGCATTACGCATCCGGTGCTTGTTGGTCCTGCTTTGCAACGTCTGAATCGCCCTTCAATTCAGGAGGTTGTTGTCACCAATACAATTCCCGTCCCCGCTGAGAAACGGATCGGCAGTAAAATCAAGGTGCTGTCCATTGCCCCACTTCTCGCCGAGGCGATTCTGAGGATTCATCAGCGACGTTCCGTGAGTCAGGTCTTCTTTGATCAGAAACTGGTTTTTCCGGTGTAGCGTATCGATCCGTGCGAAAGTTTGAAACCTTCGCACGGCTTAATTTAAGGGGATTCGCTAGATAGATCGCTAGGCGATTTACCCTAAATGGATTTGGAGGCGCAAATGAAGTTCAAACGTGAGGATATTTTAAGCAGATTGCGGGCAAACCTTGAGGCGGGTAAACCGATTATCGGTGCAGGCGCAGGGACGGGTATCTCTGCCAAGTGTGAGGAAGCCGGTGGCGTAGATCTCATCGTGATTTACAATTCGGGACGCTTCCGCATGGCGGGTCGAGGATCTCTCGCGGGGATGATGCCCTACGGCGATGCAAACCAAATCGTTGTTGAAATGGCAAGCGAAGTGCTGCCGGTTGTTCAAAATATACCCGTACTTGCAGGCGTTTGCGGGACAGACCCGTTTCGCCTGATGGATGTATTCCTCAAACAGATCGATGCAATCGGTTTTTCTGGAGTACAAAATTTCCCGACAGTGGGCTTAATTGATAGCACATTTCGACAAAATCTCGAAGAGACGGGGATGGGTTATGGACCGGAGGTAGAGATGATCCGTACTGCCCATAATCTCGGCATGTTGACAACGCCCTACGCCTTCAACGAGTCAGAAGCGGAACAGATGGCAGATGCCGGCGCGGATATCCTAGTTGCCCACATGGGACTGACGACGAAGGGGAGCATTGGTGCGAGGACTGCGTTGACGCTTGAAGAATCCGCCAAACAGGTGCAAGCCATCCACGATGCAGCGAAGTCGGTCAACCCCGAAATCTTGGTCATTTGTCACGGCGGTCCCATCGCCGAACCAGAAGATGCCCAGTATATCCTTGACAACACAACCGGAGTCGTCGGGTTCTACGGTGCATCAAGCGCCGAGCGTCTGCCAACAGAGCGCGCCATTACCGCCCAGATCGAATTGTTCAAGTCAATTCGCTTATCGTGAGTAGGAAGGAGATCTTGATGCAAACGTCAAAATCCTCTCAGGCACGTGCAAAATACGAGGCGGATGGGTTCTACCTTTTCTCGGAGCCGATCATTGATAAAGCGGTAATTCAACGTGCCATCGAAGGCATGGATGCGGTCCGAGCGGGAGAATACGAGACGGGCACCCCTCCGCGTTCGTCGGCTTGGAGCCCCGGAGATGACCCAAAGAAGTTATGCAAGATAGAGATGTCTCAGATTGCGAACCGTGCGATCATGGAGTTGGTCAGTCAGTCATCGATCGGAAAACTGGCAGCTGAGATTACAGGTGCTGAGATGGTGCAGGTGTGGTGGGTACAACTCCTCTACAAGCCCCCCGTGGATCCAGACGGAATTGTGCCCACGAATATTGGCTGGCATCAAGACCGCCACTACTGGCAAGCGTGGGAGGCAGGCAGCGAACTCCTCACAGCGTGGGTTGCACTCAGTGATGTTACCCCGGCAGCCGGTCCCATGAAATTTGTTCGCGGTTCGCACAAATGGGGATTGCTCGACCACAGTGATTTCTATGGACAAGACCACGAAGCGCAGCGCGAAGAAATCGAGGTGCCAGATGGTGAAGGCTGGGAAGAGGTCCCCGCCATTCTTCGTCCCGGTGGCATTAGTTTCCATGATAACCTCGCCTATCATGGCAGCGGGCCCAATCTCTCAGGGAAACCACGGCGGAGTTTTGCAGTCCATTTACGCACGGAAAAGTCCAAACCGGTTGACAATCTCAGACAAGGGTTAACGGCATTCATCGATACACCCACACACTGTCCGGTGATCTATCGGAAAACATAAAAGGAGTTATCCTGATGAAAGGTGTCGTCAAATATCAGCGCGGTGACGGATTCACCGAACTCCGTGATGTTGATGTTCGGAAGCCTAACGCCAACGAAGTTCTCATCGAGGTGCACAGTGCGGGGATCTGTGGGTCTGATCTGCACATCCATCACGATCACATCAACCTCCCGATGCGTCCGCCGGTTGTCATCGGTCACGAATTCAGCGGTACGATTATCGAGTGTGGCTCGGAAATTAGCCGCGTCATAGTCGGAGATCGTGTGACCGTTGAGCCCACTTTTTCGATCTGTGGACGGTGCGACTATTGCCGTTCAGGATTTTATAATCTGTGCAATCACCGGGAGATTATCGGCTACTGGCATAATGGGGCGTTCGCAAAATATTGCACCACTCCCGAACACGGCTTACACAAGCTGCCCGACAACGTAGACTTGACCTCCGGATCATTGACAGAACCGGTCGCTTGCTGCGTTCATGGTGTAATCGAGCAGACGAAGGTCTCTGCCGGCGACTTTGTCGCGATCACTGGACCAGGGACTATTGGACTGCTCAGTTTGCAAATGGCGAAGGCTGAAGGGGGGATTGTCGCTGTGTGCGGCACCTCCGTTGATGCAAATCGGCTCAAACGTGCGGCTGAACTCGGTGCAGACCTAACGATAGACGTTGAAAAGGAAGATACGGTGGAAATCATCAAGGCACATACCGGCGGCTACGGTGCCGATGTTGTCTTGGAATGCTCAGGGGCAGCACCGGCAGCACCGCTAGGCATCGAACTGACTCGCAAGCGTGGGAAGTACACGCAGATGGGTTTGTTCGGCAATCCGATCAACATCGATTTTGAACAGATTGCCTTTAAGGAACTTCAGGTGACAGGATTCATCTCGCAGAAAAAAACCGCATGGGAGCGTGCACTCAAACTGATGGAACATGGCATGGTTTCTACGAAGGCGTTAATCACCCATGAAATGCACATCTCCGAGTGGCAGGAGGCATTCGATCTCTTTGAGAAGCGGGAGGGAGTAAAGTTGATGTTGCGTCCTGAATAATGGACAGCGTTTTATCTAATCTTCTGCCTTCTCATCTTCGTGACTCCAGCACAAGCAGATACAGGTGACACTATGGAGCATCTAAGCTATACGCAGGTTACAGAACCGTTGACGATTTTCGAGTTTACCACCTCAGTGCCTACATGAACCCTTTGGGGTCGCCGCCGACAGACATTAAAACCTTTAATGAGAATCCGAATGTCAAGCCATCGGATTGGCTCGCCGCTGCTGAAATTGTGCCGGAGCTTGGAAATAACTGCTACACTTTCAAGGTCGCTGATGGCGATAGATGGATGGATGTGATAGAATCGCCGCCGGATCTCGCAACGTTAAAAGAACGCCCTACCGCCTACGGCAATCCGATTCTGTTTCCGTTCCCAAACCGCATCCGGGGCGGCACGTTTATGTTTGAAGGCGAAACCTACCAATTTGACAAACCGCCCGAATCCCCAACCTCTATCCATGGACTGCTGCTCAATCAACCGTATCAGGTTGAAAGTCCCATCGCCGGCAAAGATGGCGCGATACTGGTCTGTTCACTTGACACTCGCGATTTTCCAGATGTCGGTCGGCAATATCCGTTCCCTTTTAAGATTCAGATTACCTATACCCTAGGCCCAGTTAGTCCGACAAATGGCACACCCGATTCGTGCACTGACACACCAACACTGTGTCTGAAAATGGATGTTTCAATCACCAATACAGGTGAACGCAATATGCCGATGGGGTTCGGCATCCACCCCTATTTTCACACACTTCTCGCTCCTGACTCGGATGCAACGCAGGCGATGATTACCGTCCCCCGTAGCGAAATATTGGGAACTTGACGAGGCACTCGTACCAACAGGAAAGACGTTCCCGGTCTCCGGTGCGTTGGATCTGCGAAATGGGCAACCGTTCGCCAAGACGGAATTGGATCACGTTTTCACGGACGTTCAACTGACAGATGGCATCAGTCGTTGTATCATTGACAACCGAGATACAGGACGCGGCATGATTTTGGAATCGGATGCCCAATTCAGGGAATTGGTTGTCTATGCACCGCCGGGACGATCCTCTATCTGTTTTGAACCGTATACCTGTCCGACAGACGCTATCAACTTAGAAGCGAAAGGCATACCTGCCGGGGTGATTGTCCTGTCGCCGGAGGAGACATTCTCAGCAACGGTTCGCATAATCCCAATCCAGCGTCATTGAATGATGTCGCGCCCTCACTTATCCGACACTACAGTTTACTGTATCAATCCACCTTCAGAATAATCTTCCCAAAGTTCCGATTCGCCTCCATATATTCGTGTGCTTCACAGGCTTGCGATAAGGGGCATCACACAATCAATAATCGGTTGAATTTTTCCTTCTTTGAGCAGGGGGCAGCCATCGGTCGACAAAACGCTGCGTAATCCCAATCTTCTCTTCAATCGACTGCGGACGCATCACCGATCCGAAGACCTGTAACCGTTTCCGCATGATTTGACCTAGATTAAGTTCTGCGGCGGCACCGCCCATCAACCCGACCATAACCAAGCGACCTCGCGTCTTGAGAATCGAGAGATTGCGTTCCAAGTACGGCGCGCCAATGAAGTCCTGAACCAACTCCACGCCTTCCCCGTCTGTCAGTCGCATAATTTCCGCCGCAAAGTCCTGTTCCTTATAGTTGATGCCCTCCGTGCAACCGAGCTGCTTGCTTCTCTCGATTTTCTCCGCTGAACCGGCTGTGATAAAGACGCGAGCGCCCGCCTGATGCGCCATCTGCGTTCCCGCTGTCCCCACACCACTGCCACCGGCATGAATGAGAACTGATTCCCCAGCGTGCAAGCCGCCGATGGTAAAAAGTGTTTCGTTGGCGGTAAAGAAGACCTCCGTGACCGCAGCCGCCTTCTCAAAACTCCAATCGTCAGGAATTGGCATTGCCATGCGATAGTCGATAACCGCCTGCTCCGCGTAAGCACCACCACCGACCAGACCGAACACGCGATTACCTCGCTCAAAGCCTTCCACTTCATCCCCCCACGATGCAACGACCCCGGCGAGCTCCAAGCCGAGCAGCTCTGATTCGCCGGGCGGGGGTGGATAGCTACCTTGTCGCTGCATGGTATCCGCTCGATTGAGTGCGGTTGCTTTTACGTCAATCAACAGTTGTGTGGGTCCAGGGGTGGGGGCAGGAACTTCCGCTAATTTCAAGACCTCCGGCCCCCCGTCACCGGTTCTAATAATTCCTTTCATCAATTCTCCTTTCAGGGATTTTGCTTCACCTAAGTTGTTACCAATTCATTTTGAATGTTCTGTTTACTGTTTTGTTTTGCGTTCTATCTACTACTCACGCTCGGCTTGGATAGACATATCCAAGCCATTTGGGATGAGTGGATGTAAGACCTGTTCACCCCAGTTGATGCCCGGACCACTTTTCCGTTTTCACTTGACCTTGTGATCCACCCTATGTATAATTGCGTTTTGAACCAAAAAAATTCTGACTAACCGTGTCAGCGTGTGCTAGCGTGATGTCCCGACTCAGACGTATTCTATCTGGTCACAGCAGGGATATATTACCACTCTTCCAAGGTGGACGCAAGAATCTATTAATCGGGGAAAATTTAGGGATTTAGATTTTGTCCACAAGGAGACTTCGACCATGAGCAAAATCCACACCTTTTTCGATGAGAACGGCTACTACTTGGCAAAGGGCGTTTTCTCAGCAGATGAGATCCACTCACTTGAGAACGAGTTTGATCGAATGGTGCGACAACTCGAAAAACCCAATGAAGACGATCCAAATCATAACGGTATCATCTCCACACGCAATGTGCAGCAGTATTCTAGTCTGTGGCTGACAGCCCTACTTCACAATGGGTTCCTCGACATCGCTGAACAATTCATCGGCCCTGATATCGTTCTCAATCATTCGACACTCTTTGAGAAGCGAAAGACGACCGCAGACACACCCTTCAAGATGCACCAAGACTGGAGTTACCTGCCAACTCAGCAGAACACCATGATCGCCGGAATGATTCACGTCAGCGAAGCGACGGAAGAAACAGGCTGTCTAAGGGTCTATCCCGGATCACACAAACAGGGACGGTTGGAGAGTTCAAAGGCGGTTGACCCTGAGTTTCACGAAAAATTTCCATTTGAAGGTGCCACATCGATTGAAGCCGAGCCCGGTGATGTCACCTTCTTCGATTACTTTATTGTACACGGTTCAAAGTCCAACCACTCTGAGCAGCCAAGGAAGGTAATAATTGCGAGGATGTTTTCCGGCAAGGATCGGAAGGAAGACATTTATCAGTTTAGTGAGAATTTGGTGTTGCGCGGCTGGAACTACCATACAAACGCGGCGACCGCTAGGAAAGCTGTTGTGAAACCCGAATAGATTCAGACGGAACCTACTAACGCGGAAGGAGAAACACCCATGCCAATCGTCGCTAAGGAGAAAAGAGATCAACTCATGCGCGATGGTTTCTGCATCTTTGAGAACGTGATAGCACCGGAGATGGTAGCAAAACTAAATGACATGAGCGAATGGATGATCGCGCAACAGGCTGAGGAACACTTTGAGCAACACCGTTCACAGGGGTGCATTATTCCCTATTGGGATTGCCCCCATCCAACCTTTACTGAAATTCTCATTGATCCTGGCGCGATGGCGGTTCTCGCCGAATTGGGATTTGACTCCCCTAAATTCTGGAGCGGCTTTGTGATCAGCAAGCCTCCGCATAGCCCACCGTTATACTGGCACCAGGACGGCGTGTTGTGGGATCACCCTATCAGCTACACCAATCAACCACAGCAGTACTTCCTGATGTACTACTTGGTCGACACGAATATACACAACGGCTGTTTACGTTTGATCCCCGGCTCTCACCTGAAACGTCACCCGCTGCACGATATGCGAGCAAGAGACGATGACACAGTAATCCGTGCAACCGATATGGATCATCTCGCTTTCCAACAGGTTGAGGGTGAGGTTAATGTACCAGTTCGCGCTGGCGATGTTGTCATCGGGGATTCGCGTCTGTTGCATTCCGCCCGTGCTAACCAAACGGATCAGCGCCGCACAGTGCTGACGATCTGGTATTGGCCCGCCTATGACGATATGCCCGACGAAGTCCAAGCGTTGATCCGCGACCACATCACAAGCAGATCTGAATGGGCTGACTGGGTTGAACAAACGCGACACATCACGGAACCATTCCTGCCGGTCTATGAGGGCGAGGCAAGCCCGGTCCCTTGGGGCACATTTCCCGGCGAAGCTTTTCGGTAAGACCTCTTCTTAGTTACTCCTGAAGGTTCAGATTAGTATCCCCGCTTCAGGTCTACCAGATTCGTGAGAGGCTCTTTGGCAAGATATCGCCGTAAATTATCGTAAAAAATGGCTTTGCCCGCAGCAGCAGTTTGGGTTGAACCTCCAGAGCAGTGTGGGGTTATTAGCAAGTTCGGCGTATCCCAGAGCGGACTGTCTTGGGGCAGCGGTTCTATCGCCGTAACGTCCAGTCCAGCACCAGCAAGTTGTCCGTCGTTCAACATCTGCATGAGCGTATCTTCGTCTATAATGCCACCCCGCGACACAACTATCAGGTGGGCTGTCGGCTTCATGAGTCTAAGCTGTTCAGGACCGAGCATCCCTGCGGTTTCCGGTGTGATAGGGGCTGCGACTGCCACGACATCTGAACGCTGCATCAGATCGTCAAGTCCATCCAACAAACTCAGTTCAGCCACAAAATCGGGCTTGGGTACTTCGTTGGCGTCAACCCCAATGACGTTCATATCAAAGCCGTGACCCCGCTTGGCAATGGCACGACCGATATTGCCCATGCCGACCACTCCCAGTGTCAAACCGGTCAATCCGACTTGAGGAGCACTGAATGGACGTATCCAGCTGTGTTCGCGTTGTGCATCCAAAAGACTTGGTAATTGGCGCGTGAGGCTAATCAACAATCCAAAGGCGTGCTCAGCGATGGTAGCAGCGTGAGCACCGCGGGTGTTGGTAACAGTGACATCACTCTCCGCTATCTCAGAAATTCGCGCCAGTCTTTCTACCCCAGCACCCGTATTTTGGATCCACTTCAACTGTTTGGCTGCCAGAAATGCTTCCCGGCTGATTGCACCGAAAACAGCCTCAGCATCGACAATTTCGCGTAGAATATCATCTTGGTCAGCAGCAACGGTGAACTGTACATGGGGAAAGTTTTCTGTGCATCTTCGATCCGATCTTGGGACCATGGCATAGTGATAAGTAATTTCATGGCAATTGCGCGGCGTAAACCTCAAAATTCAGATTTAAGGACTCAGCCGCTTTTCTCCTTTTTCAATTGAGTTGTGAACGCCAACAGGATATACTAAGGCAGGTTTTCTGTCAAGGGAATAGCTAAATCACGTGCTAATAAGACGCCGCACACAGAGAATAAAACGTGAAACGTGAAGCGTGAAAACAATTTGTTCATGGGTTATTGAGGGAGGAGCCATCGGATGACTATTGAACTTCCCGATTGGGTAACGTTTCCTGAAGACGACTGGGTTCAGATCACGGCAGAGGAAGCGGGGCTTGATCCTGAAAAATTCGGAGCATTTATAGGGAGCATTGAGTGCAAGGGAGCATCTTTCGGCGGAGAGGATCACTCCGGCAACAAGTACGGTGCCGTGATTACCCGTGGTGGTTACTTGGTACACGCTTGGGGAGATCGACATTATCGGCATCAAACCGCCTCCGTTGGAAAGGCTTTTATGTGGGCGATTCTCGGTTTCGCAGTTGCCGATGGACGCATCGATCCCGACGAGCCGATCAACAAATACTGGACCGGCGAGGGTGAACTTTCCCACCCACACAAGTATTTGACGGAAGGTCATCATAAGAAGCTGACTTGGAAGCATCTCCTTGGATCAAAGCATGAATCCCTTCACTACGGGGGATTCCCGATGGAGTTGGGGATTCGTTGGAGGGAAAAGGTTACCGGACTTGAGGCAGCAAATGTTATACCGGGCGTTCCTGAATGGTCTAAATGGAGTGGTGACCCTTTCTATGACCTCTACTCCCACACCGAGCCGGGCACAGTCGGTCTCTATAGTAGTGCTGGATTCTGGCGTTTAAGCCAAGCACTTACCTACGTCTGGGGGGATGACCTGAAGAATATTATTCAGGAACGGCTCTTTGACCTGATAGGGATTCCGGCAGAGCGATGGGATTGGCTCACCGGCGGCTATGTCAAAGACCAGAAATATTTGTATCCCACAATTCCAGATTCGTACACCTATCTCGACCCACCCTATGAGATTAACGGGAACCCCGTCCGCAGCGGTCCCGGATGGGTTGTCATCAGTGCATCGGATCTCGCCCGGTTTGGTCATCTGAACGCGACGCAAGGAATCTGGAAGGGGGAACAGGTCATTGATCCTGATTGGCTACGTGGGCACAGCGGCGGGAACAAAAGCGGAACAAGTGGCGAGTCTAAGTACTTTACTGCGATGGGAGTCGTTACAGCAGCGGGTTTTGAATACAGGCACGCCACTGAGACGACGAGTTTTCTGCCTGAAGAATTGTTCACTGGACCCGTGCGAGCAAGTAAGAACTCATAAAACAGTTGAGAGAGTTTGCGGTATTGACCGCAAGATTAGATATAGAGATTTATGGCTATCGCTATGATGCTCGGACGTGGCAAACAAACCGACAGCTAGCGACTTTAGAGGAGGTTCAAATGTTGAAACTTCTGAATGAAAATGCCATCGCACAATACAATCGGGAGGGATACTATTTCCCGGTTAGGATACTAGACGACGAACAGGTGGCAGCCAACCGAGCACGTCTGGAGAAATTTGAAGCTACTCAAGGCAGCCCCATTGAGGGAGCACAGCGGAGCAAGTCCCATCTGCTTTTCACATGGGTTGACGGTCTAATGCGCTATGAGAAGATTCTTGATGCGGTCGAGGATTTAATCGGTCCCGATATCCTTTGCTGGAACACGTTCTTCTGGATCAAGGAACCGCTCAGCGAGACTTTCGTTTCGTGGCATCAGGACCTGCGTTATTGGGGGCTTGATACTGACAACTTGGTCAGCGTATGGTTGGCACTTTCACCGGCAACGCTCGAAACCGGGTGTATGCGGGTTCTACCGGGCAGCCACCAGGGACGATCTCCTGCCTCACACGGATGAGTATAAACAGCACAACCTCTTGACCCGTGGGCAGGAGGTCGCGGTGAAGGTTGATGAAGCCAAAGTTGTGGCAATGCCACTACAGCCGGGTGAAATTTCGATTCACAATGTACGGTTAGCGCATGCGTCGGGGCCCAACCGGTCAAAGGATCGGCGTATTGGTCTTTCGATGCACTACATGCCCACCCGCACCAAGCAGACCATCGGTGAATGGGACAGCGCAGCACTTGTTCGTGGCACCGATCGGTTCGGTCACTTTAAGGAGCCCCCACGCCCAACCAAGGACATGGATCCTGCTGCGGTTCAGTTTCATGAGAAGGCGACCAACGCTGTCCGTGAGATTCTGTTCAGTGATGCTGAGAAAGTACGCCGGACGCTCTGATCCGTCAAGCTACTATTGCTGAACTTCGTCTTTGGAAGGCAGGACATGAATCAACTCAAGATCGGTATAATTGGCTGCGGGGCGCATGGACGTGGTCACCTCCAGAGCTACGCGGAGATTCCCGAAGCGGAGATCGTTGCCATCACAGACTTGGACGCTGATAGGGTACGAGAGGCAGCGGTCGAATTTGGTGCCCCATATCATTACACCGATTACCGCGAAATGCTTGGGCATCATGCGCTAGACATCGTCAGTCTCGCCCTGCCGCCGGCAGCCAACCGAGATGCGGCGGTGGATGCCTTTGAAGCGGGTGCCAATGTGCTGGTTTCCAAACCGTTGGCGATGAATCTCGCCGAAGCAGAGGAGATGGTCGCTGCGGCTAGGCGTTACGGCAAACTAATGTCAATGGGCTTGCAGAACCGTTCCGATCCTGAAGTGCAAGCGTTGCGGCAATTCCTTGCTGAAGGGAAACTGGGCAATGTTTATCATACGCGGCTCTGGCACGGACATGTGATGCACATCCCCGGCACTCCCACCATGTACAAGCGTCACCTAGCGGGAGGGGGTGTGCTTTTCCATACAACCGTCCATCTGCTCGACGCGACCCTCTGGGCGTTGGGAAATCCCAAACCGGTGCGCGCCTCGGCGGCGAGCTACCAGAAAGTGCGCCGGATGAAAACCCCACTCATCACATGGCAGGGATCGGTGACAGACTGCGACATCGAAGACTTCAATGTCGGTCTGGTACACTTTGCAGATGGGTCAACAATGACGGTGGAAAGCAACTGGATGATGCACCCGCGTTCCCGTCCCAGTGGCGCTGAAATCTTGGGGGACTGGGGAACTGCTAGCCTAAGACCTCTACGAGTTGCGCTAGAGGAAGGCGATAGCATTGTAGACGCTACACCCCGTGTCAACGAGACAAGCCAGTTCGGCAGCGTCTATCAAGACTTCTGTCAGAGCGTTATAGAGAACCGCTTGCCCATGGTTCGGTTCGATGAAATGCTCGATGTGCAGCGGGTGATGGACGCGCTATACGAGGCAGCCGAAAAGGGCAGGGAAGTTACAATCACTGACTGACCCATAGGAACAATTTAGGCAGTATCCGAATAAAGCGCGAAGAGCTTGGCGTTGTTGAGGTAGACCCTGACTTTGAAAGTTCCTGCCGCTTGGGAAACCATCTTATCCTCAAGACCGCCGGTGCCGGTGTCCGTTCCTGCATCTTGGTCACCCTTCCATCTCACCCGATACTCCGTTTCATCGCCGGTGAACGGCACACAGTCATCTTTGGAGAAACCAGAAATCGCCCGGTCAAAAGGATCTACTAGTTCCACCTGCAATGAACCTTCCGTAGTATCAGCGTTTATCCACAACGAATCCGGCTTGATGCTGAGAGGCGTCGTGGTCACAAGTCCTTCCTTCTCCGCTCTTAGACAGACCAACCGGTCCTTCTGGATCTTTGCCAGACTTATCCCCCGACGGGTCGGTTCGCCGTGGCGAGGCGGCTCACCGTGCAGGTCGTTTGAACCACCATAATAGACCCAATCTCCTCACCACGCACAAAGGGTGCGTGTGGCGGATAAACACAGCCAGAGTCAAAACTGCCGCGGGGAACCGCAGACCAAGATCCGCTCACGCTCACCCGCACGATGCCAAGTCCGACCGTCCTTCGAGTACGTGAGTTGAACGTCCATCTGGTTCATCCATTCGGGCATCCACGGTTCAATCTGATTCTGGGCAATCCATCCCTCGTTGAGCGTGTGAAACACGGACAGGAATCCGATCCGAAAATCGCGATACGCCAGCGAACTCATACCGTAAAACTCGTGGTCCTGCGGAGGATCTTGTGCATCGGGTTGGACAATAATCTCGCGCGGTGTCCAACTTTCAAAATCATCGCTCTCAGACATACAAATAATCCGGACATTCGGCCGTCCGCGAAGGTAGACAACGTATTTATGGAACTTTGGATCCCAGTAAGCGTTCAATTGCGTGTCCGATCCCTCTGGAATGACTGGATTAAGCCAGTTTTTGGGCACATTCCAATGAATCCCGTCGGACGAGTACGCGACACAAACCGGTTGCACAATCCCGGCAAATCTCATTGACGCGCTCTGGAACATAAAGAGCATTTTGTATCGCTTGGCGGGGTCTAACTCAATGGGGTCCTTCATGACACCCGTCCCCGCTCCCCACCTGAACATTGGAAAAACAAGGTTATTCGCCTTGCTCCCACCGTCCTCGACGAGGTTGAGGATGGGCTTTTCCCAATGGTAGCCGTCCTGCGAAACGGCATAGGCAAGTCCGTCGGCCTGTTCACCGCGAGCATCACTTAATTCTCGTCCCACGCCATACCACATCTTGAAGAGATTTTCTTCTTCGTCGTAGATGATATTGATGTAGCTGCCGATGCTCCACTCCTCCTCCCAAGGTTCGTCTTTCTCAATCAGTGGCTGATCGGACACTTCCTGCGCCGGAACGACGCCCTTTGTAGCACCCTCAAGGCTTTCTATGTGTGCATCGTCAATAAACAGATAGGCAGTTCCCTTGTCTATCATATAATCCTCCCTTGCTTCTGATAGTCCCCAATTTCGTGCGAACATTTGGTTGGCTCAAGTTATGATTTTGTCCATTCTTCAAAAAGGTGGCAACCCCGGTTATTGTATCATTTTCCCGCTAGCACATTCCATACGAATCCGTCAAACCCTTGCCCTATGCCCCGATTGCGGAATTTCCTTAAAAATGTGTCCAACAATCGAAAATCTGCTTGACATCCCTCACGAATGCGTTGATTATATTGGGGTAGCCAATTCAATCTAAAAAGATAGTCGTCGAATTTCCCGATGGGGCCGTGCATACTGCTGTTGTGCCGGTCAGTGCTTTTCCATTGACTCAACCGCCCACTTGATGGGGAATAGCTCTATGTCAAAACTACCACCATCTCTTTTTTTCAACGTCAGAAAAGGTGCGCCTTATCTTCAGTTACCCATTTGTATGATATTGTGTGTTCTAATCGTTGGTATAACGGAGGCATCCAAGGTTTCACTGGATCCCACCCTGAAGGTGTTCGTTGATTGTGACGAATGTGACTTTGACTTTCTTCGAAGGGAGATTCCTTTCGTCCATTACGTTCGTGATCGCCGCTTGGCACAGGTGCATATACTCGTTACTGACCAACGGACCGGCAGCGGTGGTCAAGAATTTCGGCTACAGTTTATCGGTCAGGGAACGTTTGCAGGACAGGATGGGAAACTGAAGTATATTTCGCAACACGACGACACCGAAGATGTCGAGAGGCATGGGCTTGTGAAAACCATCCAATTTGGACTGATGCCCTATATTGTACAGACACCTCTCGCACCCCAGATTTCTATTGATTACAAAGCAGCGTCAGCACCACAGGCTGTGAGCCAACCTGACGATCCCTGGAACAATTGGATCTTTCGCATTGGCACAGCCGGAGAGTTCGAGCGAGAATCACAGACCAGTGAGTATTCGTTGGATGTAGATCTGTCCGCCAAGCGAGTTACTAAGATGTGGAAAATCGAAACCGAGTTTGAACTCGATTACGACGAAGACAATTTTTCCGGTGACGATGATAGCATCAAGAGTATCTCCAATGAAGGGGAATTGAGGGCACATGTCGTGCGTAGTATCACCCCCCACTGGTCAGCTGGCGTGTTCACTGGGGCATCAGCCACGACACGCGAGAATATAGACCGGCAAATTCAACTGATGTCTGCGATCGAATACAGCCTGTTTCGATATGAACACGCTGATCGAAAACAACTGACGATTGCCTACGGTATTGGGTTTGAATCAGTAAAATACACCGAGGAAACCATCTTCGACAAACTCTCAGAACGACTCCTATCAGAATCGCTTCTTGCAACATTGGAACTGACACAACGATGGGGCGAAGTCGAACTAGAGGCAGAATTCTCTCACTTTTTCCACGATTTCAGTAAATATCGGATTGACCTAGGCGGCGAGGTCTCAATCCGCCTTTTCAAAGGGCTGGAGTTTATAGCGGAATTGGATGTTGAGCAGATTCATGATCAGCTGTATCTGCCGAAGAGAGGTGCATCGCTGCAAGAAGTTATTCTGAGACGGCGGGAGCTCGCCACAACATTCGAGCACGAAGGGCGCATCGGATTTCGGTACACCTTCGGCTCAATTTACAACAATGTTATCAACACAAGGCTGGAAAACCATTCAGACTAAGCGATAAAAGGAGTGCTTTATGAACCGACCTAATGTCGTTTTCATCATGGTAGATCAGATGCGCGGTGATTGCATAGGTGCTGACGGCAACACCTGTATCGAAACACCGAATCTCGATTACCTCGCCGCCCGCGGCACCCGGTTTCGACACGCTTATACCGCCTCCCCCTCCTGCATTCCGGCGCGGGCAACGCTTATGACGGGGATGAACCAATGGCATACCGGTATCCTCGGTATGGGTAGAGGACAGGGACCGATTCCTAATGATTTCCCACACACATTGGCGGGCGAATTGACCCACGTCGGATACCGTACCCATCTCGTCGGAAAAGGGCATTTCACGCCGCAACGCGCCAAGATGGGTTTTGAAAGCCAAGAGTTTGACGAATCCGGGCGGATGTTGCGCCACGGTCTGAAGGACGAATACCGCACATGGTTCGAGGCAGAAAAACGGCGAGACATCACGCCCGATGACCACGGTGTCGATTGGAACTCTTGGGTTTCACGTCCTTGGCATACCGAAGAGTATCTGCATCCGACATCATGGACAATGAACAGTGCGATTCATTTCCTATCCCAACGGGATCGGGAACGTCCTTTTTTCCTCAACATCTCCTTCGCTCGACCACATTCTCCCTTCGTACCTCCCGCACCCTATTTTGAGATGTATCATAACGGCACGACCCCACCCCCGTCTGTCGGCGATTGGGCAACCTGTCACGACAGACCAGAAGTCGCGGTTGACCCCAACGCATGGCGCGGAAAACATTCGGACAGACGAATTCATCGCGCCCGGTCTGGCTACTATGGTGAAATCTCCTTTATCGATACCCAGATTGGTCGGTTGATGAACTGGTTTCGGCGGCATCAACAGGACACTTTTGCGGATACATGGTTTATCTTTACCTCCGACCATGGCGAAATGCTTGGCGACCATAACCTATGGCGCAAAACCTACGCCTACGAAGGCAGTGCTCGCATTCCCTTCATCGTCACCCCGCCGACGCGCGGTTCCACAGCCTCCCGTAAAGTAGCCGATGAGGTAGTCGAACTGCGTCGACATTATGCCGACCATCTTAGATGCAGCTGGTGTCGATATTCCGAAAACTGTTGATGGGCAGAGCGTCGTCCCACTAACACAGGGTGCCGAACCGAATTGGCGTCCCTACATTCACGGTGAACATTGCACCTGTTATTCTCATGAACAGGAGATGCAGTACGTTACCGACGGAAAACGGAAGCTGATCTGGTTGCCGCGCATTGATGAACTACAGTTTTTTAATCTTGAAGAAGATCCAGGAGAGTGTCATAACCGGATCAACCATCCGGAATATCAGACTGAAGTCGCCAAGTGGAAAGGATACTTGATTGCAGAATTGGCAACGAGAGATTGCGGCTGGGTGGTAGATGGGGAGTTAGTCTCCCCGCCGCCGGAAACTCCCCTAGTTTCGCCCTATAAAAACGTCCGCTGGGAGGGGGAAGCGTGAAAACAGACTGATCTGATTTGTTTGAGATCGTACTCTTGCTCAGAAATAGATTCGGAACGATGAAAAAAAGAGGGTTGGATATCCACCGAACTCTGACCTGAATTGTGTTTCTTCGTCCTCAGTTTCAGGGCGTTTGCCGATTCCGATGAACCCACCGGCGGAGAGATAGATGTCCTGTGCGAAGTTGTATTCAACCTGCAAAGAGGGAAATACTGAAGGATCAGAGATGTTCGATAGCACGACACCACTCAACGAGATGAGCGGTGTGATTTGGCAGGTTAATCCGGGGACAAAGTAGTGTCTGCCCATGAGGTAGACCGCCCCATCGGTGTACGCCGGTTGGCTCAGGTTGTCAAGATAATCTTCCGGCTCCCCTGCACCTGCGCCGCTGAAATGATATTCGATAAACCCGTAAGCCACCCCACCGAAACTGTAGTCCAGCCCTATTGACGCACGGAGATAGTTTTCTGTTTCCCCGTTTTCATTGTTGAATACGTTGGCGTAAACGTAAGCCGCTTCAAGCCAGAATCCGGCGCCGCCGATCCCCCGCGCTATATCAAAACCGGTCATCAAGTGTTCACGAAATCCCAACAGTATAATTTGAAAAGTCGGTCTCAACCGCATTCAGTTGGCTCCGAAGGAAAAAGGCACTCTTTTCAAGTGCTAAATCCTCTCCGAAAACATAGCCGGTATCAAACTCTCCCAACACACCAATCGGGATCTGAACCCGAATCGCATCCACACCGATTCGGTCCTCGGTATCCAACTGATTGTAGGCGTAGGGGGCAACAACGTCCATTGGGTTCACGACCCGCGCACTTCCCCACGCGATGGCTTGACGACCAATTGTGATGTCCCCAAAATCGGCACCGTACGCAATTGAAGCCCGATCAAGGTTTTGGAAGAGACCGAAACTACCAACCGGGTCGTTCTTGCCCGGATAGATAGTAGAATCAAAGTCCGCAACGCGATAGTGTAGTGAATCCGTGGCAGCTGCGATTGGCGACCCAGAAAACAGCGAGGGGTCTTGAATACGGGGTGCAAAATCGTAGGCGAGGTCAAACGAGAGCGTATCGATCGGGGCGTAAGCGAGATTAAGTCGCAGTCGGTTGTTCACCGCACCGATAATTGGTTCGTCCGGCAAGGGAGAATGCAAACCTGTGGAAAAGTTTTTGTAGTACCCGCTGATTTGAAGATCAGCTGCGGTGGATCCGGCGGCCACGGTTATAATCAGAAAAATAGTAACTGTAAGGATTTTTCTCACGATTTTTTCAGAATATCAGGAACGTGATGTTCTATATTCATTGTGCTTAAAATAGCCCCGTTCATATGTGGTATAATGGATAGGCACACATCTTCAGAGAAAATTCAACCGATTCAAGGAGAAGTGTAACTTCCTCTCCCTAACAGTATGGAAGTCTCCGCTTGAAAGTTAAAAATGAAGACAGTTCCTATTCAGATCAGCAATGAAGATTACGAATGGCTATCCGTTCAGGCAAAACAGCGGGCAATGACTGTTGCTCAAATCATTGAGGAAATGGTCAGGGACGCATCGGAAAGCGCAGAAAAAGAAACGGAATACCTGTTGAGTGATCCGAAAATGAGGGATCGACTTTTGAAATCCCGAAACAGTACCGAAGAAATTCCTTATGAGATCGTCCGCAAGAAACTTGGAATTTGAACCCGAAGCGTTTGAAGATCTTGCATGGTTATTTCACCACATCACTTTCAATTTGTCCGTCCTTCAGCGTTATCAAACGTCTCGCTCTCTCCATCACCATTGGGTCATGGGTTGAAAATACGAACGTCATGTTTGTCTGCGCGTTGAGGTGACTCATCATATCGAGCAGGTCTGCACCTGTTCTCGAATCGAGGTTTGCAGTCGGTTCATCCGCAAGGATAATCGTAGGTTCGGAGACCATCGCCCGTGCAATCGCGACACGTTGTTGCTGCCCGCCTGAGAGCTGTGGTGGATTTCGTTCCGCAAAACCCGCCAGCCCAACCTCCTCAAGCATCGCAGCAACGCGTCTATGCCGTTCCGCCTTGGACACCCGTTGCAAGAGCATAATATACTCCACGTTCTCTTCCACCGTCAGCACGGGAATGAGGTTGTACGCCTGAAAGATGAAGCCGATGTTGTCCCGGCGAAAATCGGACAGTTCATTACCGCTCATGCCCGACAGCAGCTTGCCCGACAGCCAGACCTTCCCATCTGTTGGTGCATCTAACCCGGAAATGATGTTGAGAAGCGTAGTTTTCCCCGATCCCGACGGTCCCACCAACGCCGTGAACTCTCCTGACTGAATCGTTAAATCGACTCCTCGAAGGGCTTCGACGGGCACGTCATTTTCCGCATACACCTTCGTAATGCTTTCTGTGACAATGACATCAGTATTCGCCAATGTTAAGCTCCTCGCACAAAAGGTAATCCTTAAAACAGATCCTTCTGTTCTGTCCTTCCACTACTTTCGCTCACTAAAAACTCCTACGCATTGCAGTTGCCGGGGCTATCTTCGCCGCATATCGAGCCGGATATAGCCCGGTAATAATGGTAAAGATAAACACGCAGATCGGATACAAGATGAACGGTTTGACCGTCATGACGGGGTAGATGAGCTCCTGTATCGTCACACCCATCATTTCAATGCCGGTATAATCAATACCGACCTTTGTAAATATCCCTGTCAAGACGAAACCGAAGATAGCACCGAGGCCGATACTCACAATCGCCAACGCCCCAGCTTCAAAATAGGATTAGTCGCGCCTCCCGAAAGAACGGGTGCCGACAGCGCGTAACACACCAAACTCAAACATCCGCTCATACAGCGACATAAAAAGCGTATTGATAATTCCGAACACAACAACACCAAAGAGGATAACCCCCATGATATATTTGCTATACTTGGACATCTCGAATACGGCTTGCAATTGGGGTAGGATTTCCGTCCAACTTAACGCTTCGTTGCCGTGTTGAGAATACCGCTCCCAAAATGGAAGATTTTTATCCCGCCCATATCTTGTGTCGGTAAATTTGATAGCAATCTCATGGATACCGGAACCAATGGCAAGCATCTCTTGGGCTTTTCCCAACCGCACAAATGCCATACCCCCACTCATTGCGTCACCGCCGAGATGATAGATTCCTGAAATCCGAAACATCTCTTGGGATAGATCGCCACTCTCTGACTGAGCGACGGTGACGACGACCCGATTGCCAAGCGTAACTTCAAGGAGCTCCGCTAGTTTCGCGCCGACCACAATATCGCGGTTATTGTCTCCTTCAAAGTATGCCCCTTCTATGATCGCATCATCGATCTGGGATAAGAACCGTTCTGTCGGTGGTTGGACTCCCACTAGGCTGATTGCGCTGACATTCGCCGACGAGGTAATCATCCCGAAAGCAAACGTTCGGGGTGTAAACTGTTGGACAATTGTCTTCTTGCGAGAGGGCATCAACCACTTCGTCGAGTTGATTAATTGTCATTTCGACTGCCTGCGTGTCGCGGAAGCCTTCCCGATGAATCTGTCCATCGCCGAGAAAAGAAGCAGTCGCAGTTTTGACCATGTTCCGCTCCATCCCAACCCATAGCGCATCGGCAAAGATTAGCGCAGCCAGACCATACCAATCGCTATCGAAGCAATGATAGTGCGTCGTTTATTCCGAAAAAGATTTCTCCAAGCCAGTTTGATGAGGATTAACCACATAGTTTTGAACCGTGAAACGTGATGCGTGGTAAGGTAATTTATTGTGTCTCTTGACTGCTGACTTCAATGGGCACGCATTGCCCTAGCCGGCAGAATGCGCGCTGCCTTCAACGCAGGAAATATACTGACTATCGCTGCCGACAGAATGACGGTAATCGCGGGATGATGAGACTTCGTGCGTTGACTTCGGCGTACATCGTCTGAAACTTGATACCGCCATAAGTAAATTCCTGTGGCATGGTGATACCATATATAGATAGCAGGTGATTGATTGCGGAACCGAGTACAGCACCGACGACGATGCTGCCAAGGGCAATGATGAGCACTTCACAAATCACCAACCAGAAGATTTGCACCGGTTTCGTTCCGACCGCCTTCAATACACCGTATTCGCTTGTTCTCTCCAGCACCGACATCAGGACCGTATTCAGTACGCCGATAGCAACGATGAGCATGATAATAATCCGTCCGATAGCATCGCCCTGCTTATCCGCCTGCATCGCCCGATAAAAATCCTTGGCGACCTCCTGCCAAGGAGCAACATCGAGCGTCGCATCATTAAGACCGGTTTCGATTGCCTTCGTAATTTTGAGTACACGATTGATGTTTGACACAATCACAACGATTTCGTGGGAGGCGTCTTCAAGGGACAAGTCAATTCCTGTGCGCTCCGCACCCTCGTGAACCGATCCCCCTAAACAAAGCACACTCCACCCGATACGTGTGTCGTCGCCCAGCTTCCATGCAAAACCCAAACAACTCCTCATTTACACAATTCGTAGCGATCGACGCCATCCGGCACCCCTGCCGAACACACACATCAAGCTTTCGATACACTCAACACCGAACGAACGAAAGGCCCCGTTCTCGCGAGGCCAATTTGCATAAAACCGGATCTCAAGCGTTGGCCCTGCGCTGAGATAAACATTTACCATTACGATGATTTCTTATCAAATCGGGTCCGCTTCGACTTCACGCGACACCCGCCATCCGATAACAGACTCTGATTTGTACGGCTGGTCGCTCTTTTTCCCACCCCGGACCCCAGCAGCCGAGGCACGCCCGATACAAACGAGGCGTCACAAGACTATACCCACTCTTTACGCCCCCCGATGGTTACCCAGCATTAGACCTAGTCATATCAATAGTTCGGTACGAGAAGGTTTACGCGATAGACACCAGATGCACCTGCACATGTCTCGCCCCTCTCCACGAGGTTCTCCCCTCTGGGTATATGGCGTTAAAACCTCATCGCCGATCAATGTCGGATTCTTATACGCCGCTCGGCGGACCATACCTCCGCCACCCCCCTACTCCTTTATGCACACGGACTAGACAAGAAAGGTAATATCCGTACAAATCATCTGCGAGGCGTCAGGATGTAGGTCGTTTTGCTGCCGGAAGATATGAGGACATGCCAAACTTTTAAGGGTCGCTTCATAGCGTCATATCGGAAGAATCTTAAACAACAACAGGTTGCGTCGCTCCACAACTCCTTACTATCTTATCGATTCATGAATCGGTTCACGGAGGGTACGTGACCCCCCAGATTTTTCGTCATCCCCCTGGTCAAACCCTCGGACCTCCACGAAACGCTAACGACACGCGTTGTGCCCACACCTCTTTGTCTTCTGTGGTATCCATCTCCATCAACGATGGTCCGGTTTTTCCGTCAAACGATTTGATCTCTTTTTTGCAAGGTTCACTGACTTCGGCGCAAGCCCGTCCCACCGCTTCGTTCGTAGAAATCGCCTGACCTCAAACTGGAATCTCAGATCACTTCCCACTCCGGTAATAGCGACGATAAGTTTCTGGAACAAAGA